GCGCCGCCGGTGCCCCCCCGACCGCTTTAACGAGGCATCCCTTCCGAATGGAGCGACTTAGAAGCCTGGGGCTGACATTATGTTACTCAGGGTGATGAGCCGAGTCCGGAGACACCAAATTTGTGGACTTTCGAGAACATTTTTTGGAAATTATTAAAACACAGAATTTAACCATGTCCCCCGCAGCATATGATGAGACGCCCATGACGGCCCTTCGGGAAGGGAGCAACTCAGAAGGCTGGGGCTGACATATGTTATTCAGCGTGACGAGCCGAGTCCGTAGACACCAAATTTGTGGACTTTCGAGAAAATTTTTTTGGAAATTATTAAAACACAGAATTTAACCGTGTCCCCCGGCAGCATATGAGAGACCGCCCATGGCGGCCCTTCGGAAGGGAGCGACTCAGAAGGCTGGGCTGACATATGTTACTCAGCGTGACGAGCCGAGTCCGTAACACCAAACTTGTGGACTTTGGACAAACTTTTCCGTTGTGACATTCACACTAGTCTTAATGCGTTGTGGCACCTCAGCATATTGAGAGATGACCCATGGGCGGCCCGCCGGCGCCCCCCCACCCCCCCCCCCCCCCCCCCCCTCCCCCCCACCCCCCTCCCCCCCCCCAGCACAGCATTGCGCCCAGCAAGCAGAGCTAGCCGCCCCGCGGCGCCCCCTCCCCCCCGGCACAGGCAGTGCACCCAGCAAGCAGAGCTAGCCGCCCGGTGGCCCGCCGTGCCTCCCCCCCCCCCCCGGCACAGCCTTTGCGCCCAGCAAGCAGAGCTAGCCGCCCGCAGCGCCCCTCCCCCCCAACACAGCATTGCGCCAGCAAGCAGAGCTAGCCGCCCGGCGGCGCCCCCCCCCCCCCCCGGCACACCCAATGCGCCCAGCAAGCAGAGCTAGCCGGCCCGGCGGCCGCCGGTGCCCCCCCGACGTTTAACGAGGCATCCCTTCCGAAGGGAGCGACTTAGAAGCCTGGGCTGACATATGTTACTCAGCGTGATGAGCCGAGTCCGGAGACACCAAATTTGTGGACTTTCGAGAAAATTTTTGGAAATTATTAAAACACAGAATTTAACCATGTCCCCCGGCAGCATATGAGAAGACCGCCCATGACGGCCCTTCGGAAGGGAGCGACTCAGAAGGCTGGGGCTGACATATGTTACTCAGCGTGACGAGCCGAGTCCGTAGACACCAAACTTGTGGACTTTGACAAACTTTTCCGTTGTGACATTCACACTAGTCTTAATGGTGTGGCACCTAAGCATATGAAAGATGACCCATGGCGGCTGCCGGGTCCCCCCCCCCCCCCCCCAGCACAGGCATTCAGCGCCAGCAAGCAGAGCTAGCCGCCCGGCGGCGCGCCCCCCCCCCCCCGCACAGGCATTGTGCCCAGCAAGCAGAGCTAGCCGCCCGCCGCGGGCCCGCCGCCCCCCCCCCCCGGCACAGCCATTGCGCCCAGCAAGCAGAGGTAGCCACCCGGCGGCCCGCCAGTGCCCCCCCCCCCCCCGGCACAGCATTGCGCCCAGCAAGCAGCATTACCATCAGTTTGTGTTGTTATTTTCTATAAAATAAATGGAGATATCTGTGTACTTCAAATAAACACATTGAAGACTTTTTATTACTTTTTTTTGCAAATCAACAGGTGGTGCCAAAGCCAAACGAAGGGCAGCTACAACAAATTATCATTGTAATTTCCACAATAATACTGGTTGTCACCCTGGCCCATATCATTTCCTGTTATAGACTAACCTCGGCCCCCCATCTCAGAAAGGAAAGTTGATGTGACCCCCACTGAAAAAAGTTTGGGGACCGCTGCTGTAGAGGGTTAAAGCTTCAAAGAAATAATATCAGACTGAAGCACAGGTAAATACTAAGTCAAATGCACTTGCTAGCAGTTTAAGTAGATATTTATGATACCTGCTCTTAACATGAGTATTTCATGCTGCTTAAGTCACAACAATATTGTACTTTTTACTGCTCTACGTTTATCTGAAAGCTTTAATAACTGGCTATGTCACAGATTAAGGTTTAATAATAATATGATTTATAAGATATGATGCATTGTTATAAATGAATCTACCTGACAGTCTGTAAAGTAATTAGTCCCATCTCAACCAGATACATTCACATTAATATGAAAGTAATAACAATGCATAATGACTTTTACTTTTAGTACACTTTAGTTTTTCTATTTTTAGTTGAATAAATGATCTGAATGCGTCTTTCACCACTGCCTACGTTTTACAAGCAAGTTAACATAACTGACACTCACAATCTACCAATACAAAGCAGCAAAATTAGCTTGTCACTAACTAATGCATTTTAGATATTCAGCTCACATGTGTTTTTAATAATCTGTGTTTTGAACAATCCTTTCTTCACCAGTAGCTACCTTATAATCTTGCTCTCGAAGAACAAATAAATAAATAATCGAACCACAGCGGCTGTACTAACAACATGATTTCAGTTGGTTTGCTTCTCTTGAGTGTGTGCTAGGGAGAACAAACTTGAAGATAGCAATAATAGCAATGTAGACACCTACCTAACATTGACAGGTATCATGTGTCATCAACGACGTATCTTGGAGTCACTTTGCTTCGACCAATCGCCTGCACCAAACAGTCTTGTGTCATAACGCTTAAGCTGGCAGATCAACTGAGTCAACGGGCCACACGTCACACTGTCAGTCATTTCCTGAGAAAGAAATCAGCTCTGCACCTAAAAATATCCACCTCTAATTGAAGGAGGTGATGTCTGGTCTGGTCACAGACCCACATTGTTTGTTCCTCTTGTCATCAGCTGTTTCCCCTGACTTAACGGTCAGCAGGGTCAGAAGGAGGATGTGTAATGGGTCACTGTGGTCAAAACAGATGCAAAAGAGAGGAAATGGGGGCTACTGAGTTTTGTGTACTCCAGTCTGATCTGTGAAATAAATCCAAGAGCTCTTAGTCAAAGACAATTGTTGGCCAGGACCTAGTCTAAAGAGGCCAGGTGTGCATTGGTTTTATGTTTTAGCCCAATAATTTAGGATTACAGCGTCAGATAAAGCCTTTCCCACGCAGTTTTCAAGTCTTATTACGATGAGGTATTGACATCTTCTACTGCATGGTCGCCGCCACATTTGAGATATTCTCCTAATCCTGTGTGCAGCAACATTCTTGAAAAAATAGGTTTTAATGTTACTGGGCAATATGTTAATTTAATGACTTGAATCTGTTATTTAGCCAGAGTGCCAGTATTTGAAAGCGGGTATGGGTGATGCATGTGAGTAGATGAGCATCCCGAGGGGTCTTCGTGCTGTTTGCAGGTGATAATTGGAATTGGCCAGGTCATCTGGGCCTCTTGTCCGCAGGGATCGTTCATTACACCACTGGGAAGAGGGGTACAAAGGGGTCAGTAATGGGCGGGACACATGGGGGAGGATAACAGAGATGTGTGTTGGAAGGGGGGCCTTTTAGACCGGTACATATAGTGAGGAGGAGGATGAGAGTAAAGAGAATCTTTACAGTAATACACCTGTGAAACTGTGAGACGCCTTCAGCAACTGACCGACTGCAGGACAAGCAAAGTCAGCTTCTGGAGGGACCTTAGGGGACACCTGTGGTGATAAAGTTGTAAGAGTTGACACTAAGGTAAGAACACTTACTTACTCTTCTATGTAATAATACTATTGTCTGTCTAAAACAAAAGTTGTGAATATTAGAATAAACATCACAGTGAACATTGTTGGATCCCCAGATAATCTTGATGTTACCGAAAAAATATCAGAGCAGGTAACAACCACCTGTAATCCATATACAGTCTGCTGAGCTTTTATTGCAGTGTATTGAGTATTTAAATGTTATGACATTTTAAATTTGTTTCTAAACCAGATATAAAAAGATCAAAGATAATAGCTTCTTACAGCCAGGCCTCTGAGTGTCTGTCTTTGCCCACAGGTAGAAATATCATGTGCGTATCTCGGCTGGTTTTGCTGCTGGGGCTGCTTCTATGTGTGGGGGCTCAGCTGTCCAACGCCCAGCACTGGTCCCATGGTTGGTACCCCGGAGGCAAGAGGGAGCTGGACTCTTTCAGCACGTCAGAGGTCAGGACCAGTGTGTGTGTGTGTGTGTGTGTGTGTGTGTGTGTGTGTGTGTAGCATTTTGTCAATCATTGAAAATTTTCTGTTGAGAATGGAGGAATCCATTACCTCTTTAGTTTTCTCTCATATTCCCCCTCTCTCACTCTCTTTCTCTCTCTCAGATTTCAGAGGAGATTAAGCTGTGCGAGGCAGGGGAATGCAGCTACTTGAGACCCCAGAGGAGGAGCATTCTCAGAAACATTCTTGTAAGAAAACTAAGAGAAAACAGCAGTACCATGTCTAGTGCTGTTTAAACCCGCATGTCCCACTGTAATCACAGACCTTTATAACCAGTAGTGAGAATATTAACTGATCAACAGTTAATGACTCATCTAAAAAATAAAAATCCTTGTCAGTGTAATTTCTTCTATTAGCACGAGTGTTGTTAATATGAACACTATAACTCAGCTTTCTTATTAATATACAAATGTTAAAGAAGGTATACTCCAAAATCCAAAGCCTACTCTATAGGTAATCACTAGTGAAGGTATTGTGTATTGTATTTTGTCTTTACAAGAATGTGTCTGCCCACAAACATACAGATGCTGACCTGATGACATAATGCCCCACACACTGTATCTATACATTGGCAACAGCAACAAAAAGCTGTACAATAGACACGCCTTACATATTTACATCCACCTACATGCAGTGTGTCTTAACCTAAATAACTCTCTCCACAGTTGGATGCCATAGCTAGAGAGCTCCAGAAGAGAAAGTGACATCTTTCCAGCCTACACTGCTTTTCTACCTAGTGACCCTCTTCATCAGTGCCCTTGTCTTGATGTGAAACTACTTTATCTTTATCCTCTGATCTTGTCTATTTGTTATATTTATCAGTATGTTTTCCAGCATTACATGGATTTTCCCTGTGGCACACAAATATTGAAATTATAATGCCTCGTAATAAAGTATCTATTTTGATATTAACCTTCTTTTCATTTTATTTGTGTCCAAAATTGTCTATGGCATATGATGTAAACAGTAGGCTAAATGTAGAGTAAAAAAAGGTTAAAGTGTTTTACACGAGATTCAGTGGCAAAACCAGTTGGGCACATGTCTAAATAGTGCTTGTAGAGTGCCAACAGCTGGACCTAATTGTAATGCATTCATGCTGTTGACATGCCATAGCAGGAACAGCACAGGTGTAAAATAATAAAATTCATGCTGGCTAAATTCCAATTAGATGCTTCTGTTTCAAAATCCTGGTTATAGGTTGGTTATATTGACAAAAACTTAAAGAAACTACATCGGATTTTTTATTATTATTTATTTATTATTGTTATTATCATTTTTTTGGGGGGGGGGGGGTCACATAAGGAGGCCACAGTTGAACACAGCAGTAAAGGGTTTTTAAAAATCCTTATACAATGCTTTTAACACTATATTCACCAATTTTAAAATATGAAACCTGTTCAAGAAAAGGGGTTAAGTAGTAAATAGTGAGTGTCCCAGTAAGCTTCAAGCCTGGATGTGATTTAGGTGAATTATTGATACTATAAATATCATTATAACTCCTCTGAGGATTATCAAACCAAACAAGCCAACGCCATTAGTACTAGGACGTCACTGCGCATGCACCAAATAGCTAGAGAAAAAGATGGACGACACAAACGTCTGTCCTCCGCTGCTTGCGGAATCAGACGCTCAAAATAACACTACTAGTACCCCTAACGCGGCTTCTGTCACAGATGCTGACAAAGTAATAAACACTAAAATAGATAGTACCCAGATTGAAGGTGAGTTCTGTCTAGAATATGAAAATTCAGCCGTATGGCGTCCTGCCTGCCGAGCCAACGTTAGCGCTTTAGCTAACTGGCTAGCCAGCTCAGCAGTCGAGTGAGCTAGCTCCTTAGCTAAATACGCTAATGTCAGCTGTCTAACGTTAGCTGAAACGTTGGGAGTTGCTCAGTATGTTATACCGGAGCATTTTAATCCTTAAACTGCCTTACAGTGAAATCACACAAAGTTAAGAGGTTGCTCGTTTTCACAGGTCTGTAAGTGGTTGGCCAGTTGCTAATTATCTAGCAGTCACCCAACCCACACGGCCTTTTCGACCATTTAAACTAGCCACATACCGGTAGTTCAGGTTAACTGGTAGGGCAGCTAGCAGGTATGGTAGCGGAGGCCACCAAATAACTTAATATTATTAAAGGGTGACATTGACTGTATCCTCTCTGGCAAAACTGATATTCTTATCTTAATACTGAAGCAGCCAAAGCAATGGACTGCCATGCAATGAAGCAATACTAAAGCCAGAGGCAAAATTTACTATCTAAAATGTAGGTGTGTTAAAAGATACGGGATTATCAGGTTGGCTTTGAGTTTGAAGGCTCTCAGTTCCCATCAGCTGAGTTGTCATTCACCAAATGTGGCCATTTGTATCCCTCTTGATGGCGTTGTTAAGCAGTAAAATAAAAATACTTCCAGGATGAGGGTGTGAATAGGAAATAGAGATTTCTCCTATTCAAACATTGTACACATGTTTTGAGATACAGTACCTACAATCTCTGTTCTCTTGTTAACCTCTACTGTGATTATCATTTGGTAAGTACAATATTTGAAATGTATCAGCAGACAGACACTTCAGGCAGAAATATGTGTATATACTGTTTTACTTCTGTCAGTCCCAAGTTTATTTGAGCTGTAGATGCTATTTGACTGAGATACACAGAGAAATGTTGTATTGTAGTTTATAATTATTACATAGCAGAAGTTGGTACATTAAAATTTGACCAGCGCACCATAGGTGGTTAGTATTGGGACTCAAGAGATTTTGAAAGTATTTCATAGTCCTTAATTCCAATGCCTTATTTTACTTACTCTTAGTGTCACAATGTGATGGTCATTTTTAGCACTGATTAATATACCTTTTTTATTTTTGTTTTTTTTGGTCAATGATTTATTCAGTGACAAGTGATCGTCATAAACATCATTATTGAATTTACAATTATAGTGTACAGGATGCATTGAAGGAAAGAGTACAATAACACATTTTTAACTGTAAATTAATATGATAAGGTAATTGATTTATAATCAGTAATGTTTTTTGTTGACTACCTAATTGAGTTATCAACTGATAATTTCAGCTGTAGTTACAAATCTCAGTTGACACTAGTCATAATATTAATCATTTATGTCCTATGATTAGCTTACCACATATCATAATAGCTTAACCAGATCAATTCATGTCATTTTTAAAATATATAGACGTGTATGAATTATTGTCAGCGAGGATTAAAAGTTGTCACAGTAACACATCAGTTCCTATTTAGTGATTTAATTTTAATAGAGTCAAATGAAAAATGAAACTCACGCACTTCACAGACAGCTTCTTCACGAAAGTAGTGAAACTCATAACCAAATATTAGCCCAAACTGTTGCACTATTATGAATAGTGCTCATTTACAGTGTTGTTGAAGGCTGTTCGAAATTTTTGAGTGCTAAATAACTGTTTCAAGTGAAAATGAGCAGAGCACGTTAAACAGAATTGATGCTATCAGGGCAAAGTGGCTGACCTCTTCCTGCATTCAAAGGTTACACGAATGCAGAACAATGAACATGCATCGGGCGTTGAACGAGCAGAATGAATCAATCATGAAACCATGACTTTCTCACATATTTTACAAATCTTAAAGAGGTTCGTGTTGAATGAAAGCAATTCAGGTAGCAAGTTTTACAACAATTTAGGCATTTTCTATAATCTAATGATGCAAGTACCTTCTAGTTTACAGCTGTCCCAAAGAATCCTGTTGGTAAATGATACATATCATACAATGGATAACATCTTGCTTTGAATATGTTCTTAAGGTGTGGATGTGTCTTCAATTAGTGTGTAATTCAGTAATCTTAAAAGAATAATATAAACTAGGCTACTCCATTTTCCATGTACAGGAAGTTGTTATACAGCAGACTGAAAGTGAAATCTGCTTGAAGTTTAACCTTTTTTTTCCTGTGAAGAAAATAGAAGTTGCTCCCAAATGAATGTGACAGAATTATTTAATAGCTCTTTATTTATTCATCATGCTTAAATAAGCTTCCACTTTGTTCGCTGACGCTTAACTGTAACAGTGACAGTATACTCTGCCACGCAGGAGACAAGAATGAAGAGGAGCTTCTAAAGGGTCTCCTCACTGATGACTACTGCCACGTGTGTGAGGCTGTGCTGCTGTTTGAGTCTCAGAGGCTGTCCCACTATGAGGTGTGTGCAGTTTCCCAAACACTAGTCACGTAAACTGTAGTACAGTTTTATTGACCTCACAAGGTCAGACCCGTAATAATTATGTCTCCCATATCCCCCAACTGCAGGGAAAGAAACATGCTCAGAAACTCAAGGTGTACCTGCAGGCCAAGAAAGGCGAGAAGATAAACAAAGAGTCCACAGCACCTCAGGTTAGCGCTCATTTTGAGATTTTACTTTTTACACGTTTTGTATTTAACTCCAAGCAATGAAGAAACTGAAAACCGTACTGTTGTAAGCATCCAACAGTAAGAAGTCTTAAGGGTCATAAGTTAAGTGCCCTGATTATATCCCTCTCAAAACAACATGATCACATAAGAGAGAGATGCACAGAAATCCATCTATGGTTGCCAGCACAAGCATTTTGAATTAAATAAAGGCACAAGTAGCTGTGGTGGATTCTATGCAAAGGTTGTAAGTGGTAAAACTGGTCTAACATATCTTTCTTATTTGCTACTTTATTCATTTTGTTTGCATTTCGTGTTGGGAAGCATACATCTGTCTCCTGACCTGCCAGTGTTGTGCCTGTTTCTTGCAGCAGACCATGACTACTGATAAGGACCGGTTCTGTGAGCTGTGTAATATGGTGTTTAGTTCCCACTTGGTGGCAAAATCACACTACGAAGGGAAAGTCCATGCAAAAAATCTTCGTAAACAAGGTCTTCAGCCACCAGGCAAGTGTAGGTTGTGTGATGGAGAAGTATTGTGGTGGTTTGAATTTTAATGTTTGCAAATTTAGTTGACGATATGCTTCAACTGTCTGCTCAAGTTTTCTAAGTTCAGATGGTCAAACATTTTTTATTGTAGTCATAAACAGGAACACAGAGGCGTGTACTTTACCAGGGCTGACTCCTGATAATGCTGACCAGAAATCAGCCCTAGAGGATGGTATGGAGCATCCCATGGACCCAGCAGCAGCCACAATTGCCCCCAGCACAGAGGTTGATCTGAAGGACCCGGACAAGTGCTGTGCCCTGTGTGCTGCTTCCTTCAACAATCCCCAAATGGCTTTGCAGCACTACAATGGACGCAAACACCAGAGGAATCAGGCCAGACAGGAGCTGATGAAAGAGCTGGGAGACAATGTCCAACAAGGTAACAAAGGGTCCTGCCTCTTAGCAAAGCAGGATAATACAAACGGCATCAAACAATGAAGGGATTAAATTGGTATTTAATCTTTTGCACCCTGTGATTTTACATGTATTTCAAAAGGCGAATTGATGCCTAGAAACATATATCTCTTTTTTTTCTTTCTTTGATCGACACACTATATGTAAGTGTCATCTAGGTGCCATGTAGAGACAGATAAAACCAGTAGAAGTTGGCAACAGCACAACACAAAACTAGCTTGTAAAATCAAAATCAAAATAAATAAAAAATTGATTAGTGCACAGAAATGTGAAGCAAAAAACCCAGAAGACTTTTCTGCCTAAAGTAACACTGATATTTGAAAAGGCCATGAAGATGTTATTCCATCAGAGGGAGCAGGTAGGTGTTAGCTTTATGACAATCAATAAGTGTTGACAAAAGACAGGTAGTCTAATTGTGCTTCTGTTAAATAATAATATAGAAGAGTTCAGTTAGCTAATGACGGCTTGCCGTTGTTGCACACGATATCAAGACAGTTTATTTATCGGGCACATTCAAAAACAACAATATGTTAATCTTATGTTTCATGTGCCTTTTATATTATTTTTTATAAATTGTCAGTTGTATAGAGAAAATTTGGAAACCCCTAAATGCAAATGTAATGTTAAATGAAACTTATTTTGCTGTGAATTACAAACTCACCAGAACTAACTGGAATGGGAGAAAGCAAAGAAGTGGGGAAATCTAACTGGGTCATTAAGCTGTTTGATCATTTATGCCGTCTTTCCTTCCTATCCCACCTCACCCGCCCTCTGTTGCCTACAGCCAACTCCCTGGTGTGTCAGATGTGTAGTGTGCAGTTTAACTCTGTGGAGATGTACCAGGCACACGTTCAGGGAAACAAGCACCAGATTAGGTAAGATCAAGGACTGTCTGACAGAAACACCATGTCCACTGTCATTGTGTCAGAATTTGTGCTACACTTCAAATTTAACCTCCACTACACTGCACTTGAACTTGCCTTTCTAGACCTCTGCCAACATTAAAGCTTTTTGATACTGACACTGAATTAGATGAATATTATCTCATAACCTCTGCAGCTCTGTTTAGTTTTCAGCTGCTTTTAGCTTATGCTTGGGTTTTCAGCCAGGTTTGTGGTTTGAGTCCCATGGCTGTCATACACTCCCATGGCTGTCATACACACACTGAGGTGAGTAGTGTGCACATCCCACTCCAGTTGAGTATATGGGCACACAGCAGCGTGAACTAAAGAAAACAAGCTTACTCAATCTTACAGGCTTCATTTGCCTGATGAAAACCAAAGTAGCATCAATAATCTTTCTTATATATTATTATTATATTAGTATTTTTTTTCTGTGTGTGTGTGTGTGTGTGTGTGTGTGTGTGTGTGTGTGTGTGTGTGTGTGTGTGTGTGTGTGAGAGAGAGAGAGAGAGAGAGAGAGAGAGATTGTGGCAAAATGTGGTCCTGGAGACACCTACTGTAGTGGGAACTACTACAGAGGTGGTTTTGAGTACTTATGCAGGTGTTTAAATGTCTGTGGACAGATTTTGTCAGTGAGGTTTTTCACAACTTTGCAAGATGCACGCACGAACTTCACATGCTTTACAGGTGTGTAGTTGACATCAAAATGAAGGCTGAGTTTGAAGAAGGGGTTTGCTCCGACCCATGAGTACTGACTACTTCTGTAATAATCTAGTTATAATTACTGAGTACTCATGGGTCGGTACGTCGGCATGTTGACACGTGTCGCTGCTGGTGTGATCCCATCACAGGATCGTCTCTACTTTTTCTCCAGGGTTCAATATGCAAACTACCTCTGCTTTAACATACGTACACCCTCATTGGATGGTCATACTACTCTGCGTAGGGAAGGGTATGACATGTTAACTTAACTTAACACTTGATAAGCTGATTGTATTATGAAACTACATTTCTGTACGTTTGTTTTTCCGCTCTGTAGTGGTAAAAAAACAAAAAAACAAAAAAAACACTTAATGGGGCTTCAGTGTGATATCAGCATTTATTACCTGATTGAATTGCAACTTAATTCTTGTTCACATGCTCTTGGCCAGGGAGAAGAAGGTCGTTGACCTCTGCAAATCCCAACAAAAAAGCTACAGCACATTCGCAGATGAACTGGCAGATTACATTCAGGTTCAGAAAGCTCGTGGAATTAAACCCAAGACCAGTCAAGTCCTCCCTCAGGGTGACACACAAAAGGAGGATGAGGAAGATGAAGAGGAAGTACAGGAAGTATTTAACAAGGAGCATATCATAGAGCTGAGCAAACCTGTGCCAAACCTTCCTCCCACCTCTGACGCTCCTCATCAGTTCGGCCCTGGTTGTTACTACCCAGCTGAAGGATGGCGTCCTCCATATCCAGGCCCTCCCAGGCTTCCTCATGGCTGGGACTACAACTGCCCTCCTCCAGGCTTCTCAGCCTCAGGCGCTCCACAGTTTGCCGGTCGGCCCATAAAGAGAAAGAGCCGCAGAACCCAGTCAAGCTCCTCCTCGTGTACTACCTCATCATCTTATTCCTCCTCATACTCCTCTTCTTACAGCAGTAGCACAAGTGACAGTGATGACAATAAATACAAGCGAAGAGAAAGGAGGAGGATTAGAAGATCCAGGAAGGAGCGAGGTAGGAGGTCAAGAGAAGAGGACTCACACAAGGAGGAGAGGAGGAGAAAACGGCAAAGGAGAGAACGAGATAATGAGTCAGAGGAGAGAAAAAGAGAAGAGTTTGGAGAGTCACAGCAAGAGAGGAGGAGAAATAAGCAAAAGAAACATGGGAAGCAGAGACGAAAAGAAAAAAAATCCAGGGAAGAGGAAGAAGGAGGGGAAAGGGTGATGGACAATTTAAAGCCAGAGGACATGATGGACAATAGAAAATATACCGAAGTGCATATACAGGCTGAAATTAATGTTGAGCAGGGGGAGGGTGGGCAGGATGAGTCAGCCAAACCCAAATACAGAAGAGAGAAGAAGAAAGTGAAAGAGAAGGTAGACACTAGGACGGAAGAGGAGAAGCTGTGGGATGACTCCATTCTGGGCTGTTAAACTCAACAGGACCAGCTGAACTGTGTCTTCTGAACGGCTGAAATTTTTTGGTTAAGGTTAAAGTTAACATGAGCATGAATTTCAAAACTGTGTATATTAAAATGATTAAAATTTTGATAGCAGTTAACAAAGCAATTTTCACCATCTGCTCTGATGGCCCGAACAGTGTTGTTCTTCAATGGTGTGCTAGCTGGCTAGCCATGCTTAGTCAATTTGCGTTAGTCAGGAATGAATGTTATTCTTATTTCATTGTGTGCTGAAGGGTTTCTCACACATATCCACAGCTACAATAGCTTTATTTTTCACTATGACATCTAAAAGTGTCTCTGATTAAATTCATGTGTACAGTCAGCCACAGTTGTTGGCTGTTATATTTAAGATCTCTTATTTTCTCGCCTATCATTTAGAATTATCAAGAAATCCTCTTGATCTCTTAGGTTAACTGACCTAACTTAAATTATGTTTGATTGTGTTATCTGTGCTCCTGCCAAGGATGTATTAGATTGTGATCCCTTTAGCAGCCTGTGGTTGGCGCTGTTGAGCTTCACTCAGAGCATCAGTAAAGCAAATAAAAGCTCACAGATGTTGCAAGCTCAGTCATTTCATTTCTTTTGAAGCTGTTGTCTGCTTTCGCTCAGAGGCACGTAGGCTGAAAGGAGGCAGTTAGAGGTGCAGAGAGGTTCAGTTCAGCGTATGTTGAATACGTAATGATAAAAAAAAAAAAAAACATTCTGTGCCCTTGTACACACTACATCCCCTCAAAACTACTTACAAAACACAGAGTGCTGAGACATTGCCCTAGTCTACAGTGCATTGTCTGCGGGTGCATGTGTTATGGGTATGTTTGCACATCCAAATAGCACATAAAGTGTTTGGGGTCAGACAGGTGCAAGAGTTCAAATGAGGACATCGCTTTACAAACTTCAAAATTCATGTTCAGATGCAACAAAGGCAGTTGGCAATATTTATTTCAGGTGACTGAAACGAGGCAAAGTAAAGTTATTTCAGTTAGTTCAAATTTCCAGTGATCCTCTTGATTCATAAGGATCCTAAGTCTGTAAGAGTGTAAAGTAACATCATCATCAGTCTGAACATCAAGGCTGGCTGAGCATCTGCAACTTTTAGATCTTTTTAGCACAACAAAAAACAGGCGCTTTCATTGTGCTTCCATGACTTTTTGAGTTCTATTTTTTTGTTCAAAATATCATCATGGATGCGATGCACATTTCTAGCTCAGGCTTTATGGATTATGGCAGTGGGCTAGTTTGCCTTTGTTAAAGACTAGATTTCTAGAAAAAGGTTTTGAGAAGACTTCAGACTGGAGTGGTGGTCAAATATTTACGAGCTTCTCTTGATGCAGGTGCCGTAAAAAACTCTCAAAACAGTAAAATAGATTAAATATCTTTATATAAAAGTCTTGTTTTTTTTTCAACATTTTGTATTTGCATAAGAAGCTGTTCAAGTACAACAAAGGATCGTCTTTAAAGTTTGTTCATTTCTGTATCAGCTATTCAATTGTGTTAGGATCCCTGGAGCAGAGTGCTGTTCAGTATGTTTACTCGTCCATTAGCCATACCGCTTATTACCGCTGACATTGGGTGAGGGGTGGGGACACCCAGTCTTGTACAGTATTTGACTTGTTGAAATAACAGAACAGTGTATCACAATTTTCAAGCAGAAGTAGTGTGAATCAAAAACATGCACTTAGATGTCAGCCTAACTACCAATGTTGATGGCAAGAGAAAAGTGGGAATGACAGAGGTGACAGCAGTTGATGAAGATGAAAAGTTGCTGATTGAGGACTTGACTTTATTTGTTTAAAGCGCTGTGGATGAGAACCAGACTCCACATACAATTATATGGAAGTGAACCAAATTTTAACAAAATTGGAGAAGAGAAATGAAATGAGAGGCAAACAGCAACTCAGCATGGCAGCCTTTGACTTAAAGCGTCGGAGCGGAGAGACCAACAAAGGCTTTGTAGCTCAGCAGTGTGTAAAGAACAGCTCTGAAGCCCCCTGAGATCTCCTGTTTTCAAAGAATCCTGTGGTATCGTTCCCTGTTGCACTCGAATCTTCGACCCCCGTAGAGCTATAGTGTGCCCACATCCTCTCATTTTAAGACCCCCACCAGACCGTTCTACACCCTAACCTTTCACACACACACAAAACAATCCACAGACACCACTTGGATGACTTAAGCGGTCTTCAGTTTTATAAAGAAAATGTGAGTTCTGTGGATAATAAGACATTTAAACAGTGAGCCATCACTTTTTTTTTTTTAGAGTCGCTGCTCCAAAGTAACATATAAATGGCATATGTGGATTTTAAGTAGGACAAAAACTACAAGAAAATGTCAAGCCTGCTTAAAACTTAACAATGCAAAGAACCTGCGTAAACTCATAAATGGCAATATCACTCAGAGAGTCTTGGTTTGATTTGGGGTTGATATATGAATAGACAAGAAAAAATCCCAGTCATTCATTGGTTCCTCTTTTTCAAATGTATAGATTTGCTGTTTTTCTCTGTTTTACATCGTCATAAATGAAGTAGGTTTGGCTATCAAATCATTTGGCAAAATGGCCAATTTGAAAAGGATACCATAGGCTCTTTGAAGCAGCAAAGGCCATTTTTACACACATTTTTGACATTTTAGAGACTAAACCATTCATCGATTAATAGTCAAATCAATCAGTACTGAAAATAATTGATAGCTGCAGCCCTAACTGACTCATTCCAAAGTTCATCACAAGCTGAACCTTTACTTTCGTCTTTTCATGCAACATATCTGTGCTCATCCGAGATCACAGTTTTTGCTGGAGGTCTTCAGTTGATGTGCACAGATAAAAATATTAATCATTAGAAAATTTAGAAAGTAAATACCTCCCTTGTGCTTTTTTCTTAATGATTTAAGTTTGATTTAATCTGCCAATGATTTAACATTCAAATGACAAGAAAGAAAAAGGGTTGAGAATAACTCATTGTCAACAGAAGAAATTCAGAGGGCAGTTTCTATAGAAGACAAATTCAGCTTAAACCATCTTACTAAATGTCAAAACTCATTCAGTTTGTTCAAATAACTGAGAAATATATTCAATCTATTGAAAAAACAGAGAATGAATGATTTCACTTCACTGTTTTATTGATTTTTTTTCTGATTCAATCGGAACAAATTTACCGTTTCACAGAAGAGAGCTGAGAATATTCAGAATTCATATGATTTGTTTTGCAAAGCAGCATGCCCATGCACAAACCTCACTGGGTTTTGTGTTACTGCTTTCTTAGCGTGTCTTGATACACTTTACAGTTAAAGAAGTAAATTATAAGAAAGAGCTGAATTTGCTGTATACACGCACCAGTGAATATTTAACAATAATATACAGCGTTGTGGAACAGGGGTCGTACCACTGACCCTTCGTTTCCAGTCAATGCCTGAAGTTTAGGCTCCGTACTTTGGCATTCCCTTGCCGCGCTCTGCAGTGAGGCATGAAGCTGCACATGTAGGACTCCGCTGAGCTCTAGGTCATGCACCTGGGCAGAGACCACAGCACTGCAAACTGCTGCTCTGTGAACATAAAGCTTTTTTTATTGCTTGAGGTATCATGTCAGCTCTGATGAAACATCACCACACGTTTTCTACTGTTTGTCATGATCCATATGATGTGTGACACTTTATGGCTTTTGTGTTGCATCTGTGAGAGCGTTACTTGTTGGGTACATACATTTTGTGTGATTGGTATTCTTTTCATGCTGTTATCCTGTTTACCAGCTGTCTATGTTTTATGATCATTTCAGTTTAAGTGATTTTTTTCAGCTGTGTGTGTGTGTGTGTGTGTGTGTGTGTGTGTGTGCGTGTGTGTGTGTGCGTGTGTGTCTGCGTGCGTGTGTGCGTGTGTGTGTGTGTGTGTGTCCGCGTGTCCGCGTGCATGTGTGTGTGTGTGCGCGTGTGTGTGCGTGTGTGTGTGTGTGTGTCTGCGTGCATGTGTGTGTGTTTGTCATGTTTAAGTGCCTTGGGTGGCCCACTCTGATAGGCCCTGTGTGTGTCACATTAGGGTGTTACCTTGACGACTCCGGGCCCTGTCAGCTCAGTTCCTCCCATCATCTCTGACAGATAGATAGCAGGAAAAGAAAGTATCAGCAACTTCCCTCAGCTACCACTCAAGATACACACACGCGTACACACACTGGGGACGAGACAAAATGATCCCGCAGCCGCTGGCATGGACACTGGTGACAGTATCGCTGTGGACAGCAGGTAAGACCACTAAGTTTCTCTGTTTGTTGTTTTGTAGGCCTCCGGCATTCTCGACATCATGACTCTGTCAGGGGCCTGTAGCGAGGGATGTGTTGTTGTCTATTCAGACTGAGGTGTATCTGATGTTTAACTTAAAACATGTAGAAAACATTCCTAGCCGTAGTTTGTGCTAAAAGGTGAATTTGTTTCTAATGATCCACCAGATGACTCAGACAGTTTAAACAGACCGAGTACAACACAGTAGCCATTGGTTCATTTGTTGAAACTCTAATAGTCAAACTGCCGTAATAATAATACTGGTATACATGATTGATATAGTTCTTACATAAATGTAATATGTGCTCCGTATTAGGTCTGTATCATTGTCAATTTTCTTTATTTATTTACATTTTTTTTATATTATAGCTCTACCACGGCATTGAAATGAACTGTATCGTACTGTATAGTCAACTCACTGGATAAAGACTTTATCAATTCTTGAGCGCCACACAATTTGTGCATTTCATATATATTTGAGAGAACGACATGATTATCCACCTAAATACCAATGAACCTTAACCTTTCATACACAGGCATCCTTTGAACTGCCACTTACCTTTAGATATTTCATAAGACTAGTGATTGCAACAGGTATATGTCTTCATACCTGACTTGAAAACACATAAAATAGACATTGGAACTGATTCTAAAATTAGATGAAATAGCTCTTCCAATGACGGCATCCCTTAACCATTGCATAAATGCTCAGTCTCCCTGTAAAGCAATTTCAAAATGTCACCTTTACAAGTTTAAAGTATATGCAAGAGCTTTCTTCACATTTCCATTCTTGTGATACTCATGGTGATAGTTGTAGTTTTTCTAAATTGCCAGTTGTGTTTGTACATTCCTCTGCCGTGCTCGAAGCACAATCACTTGTTTGTGCTTTTGCTTCATAATTAATCTTAATCACAGACTGACTTACAGACTGCGGATGCAACGTTGCAGGCAGCTTTTCCTCAAACCTTTCTGAACACCAAATAATGGCCAAGTCGGCCTCAGACGTCAAAACAAGACGGAGTAACCATTTTTAGAAAATCCATGTATTTTTGAAAATTTGGGTTTTTGGCCTTGACTTTGTTGTAGTGTTTTAGAGCCTCAACCGTCAATGGTACATATCCGTAAACTCCCATTTTGGACTGTAGCAGTTGTACTACAACTATGTGTCTGATGAAATCTCAAACATCCCTCTATTTCTACCCCTAGGTTCGAGCCAGATCCTGCTTCAAGAACCCATCAAAGTTCATTACCCTGCTATCGCCAGTCATGAGATTATTGAGTGTGACTGCGTTAACATCTCTTGTGACTCTGTCTACTGGTTCCGCAGTTCTCCCCAAGTACAGTTCCTTGGAAAATGCAACAACGCTGACCGTGTTAACTATGGGCTTAATGTGGACGAGACAAAGTTTAAATTCAGCAAGAGAGGTAGCATGTTTGTGCTACGCGTCATGAATGTGAACACGGAGGACACAGGGACTTATTCCTGTGTCCTAAAAGACAGGAACGGTAAAGAGATATGGAAGCCTGGGAGTCTTCTCCGACCAGGAGGTTTGTATGCTGAAATTTCAAGTGCAATTAAATATCAAGAGTTTCATATCAAGCGGCTGTGGAGTTTCAATACATCCATATAATTTCAGGTGGCAGGTGGAGGAGTAAGTGAATTAAGTGGCTAAATGCAAATCTGAAACCAACCTCTGCATTTAAATCTGATTCAATTTGACACTTTAAACAATATATTAAAATTTATCACACAATGAAGATTTTGACTTTAAAACATTACGTGCCACTAAATACCTGCATACATGTACTGCGGCGTACCCAGTTTGAGTCCGTTGAGAGGAACCAGAGTCTCACGTTCCTCTCTTCTAATGTTTCCTGCTGTATCTCCCTTGTCAAGTATCCTCAAAAAGTTACATGTGTTACTACGTATTTATCCTTTTACTTCAGCGTTGTTATTTCTGCCCAGATTCTACGCTATCAACCTCCTCATAGTTTGCCTTACTCACCTGGGTGTGGCGGTCTGATACAAAGAATTAGTGGACACTCCAAACCTCAGTACCACTCACCACAGACATGTGGTGACATGTGCACATGTAAGAGGTGTGCATGAGAAATATTATAGTGTTGATGGTTTGTTTTTTTGTTTTTGTTTTTGATTGTGGTCGGACACTTTTCTGTGACCAGCTGGTGCGGCCCGTCCACATGTGCGGTCATTTAATGTAGAATGAAATTGATCTTAAAAAGTTTGCAGAATAAATGGATTAAACAAAAATGATCTACAAAAGGTAACACTGTATCGTACCTGTCTGTGTGCGGGGTTCGTTTATCAGTGTGTGAATATCTTTGAGCTGAAAAGGAGAAAAATTTGAAGAAAAACTGTCCGCTGGCCCAATAAGACTTTACTGGAGAGTCACACGCAGACAAACAACATACATGACGTATTTGTAGAGAGGATTTGTGATGTGTGTGAGATCCTGGTCAGAATCTTTTTTTTTTGTATATAAAGATTGAAAAATAGGGACCATTTAAAAATTGCTGGGTCCCCTTTAATCTCTGCTTAAAAGATTCTTTACAGTCTTTCTTCACTGCTTGTGTTTAGTTACCACTCGTCTTTATTGTTCTCTGTTCTATTTATCTGGCAGTGACCCCTCCAACATCACCTCCCAAGACAAAACCCAAACCACCAGTCAAGTCAGTCTGTCACTGCAATAAGAGGAATCCTTCACAGGGTAAGCTACAGGATTTTTCATTGAGGGAAACATTGTATTTGTGGCAGTGCATCATTTATATGAAGCTCTGCTGTGTACAAATTTGACTTTATTTGTGTCTTATTGTATGTATGAGCGCTTTGTGAAGTTACAGTATAAATCTTTTTCACCGTACCAGGAGAAGTAACCAAACAAGTAACTATCAAATTGTATATATCGTGTGTGTTAGCTGTAGGTGTCTGCGGCTCCATGGTTCTGTGGCCGTTGGTTGGACTTACTGTGGGCCTGGGTCTGGCTCTCATCTGCACACTGTACTACTTCAACCGTGAGTAGTCCCGCCTGTTTAATACGTTAAATAATGAGAGGGCCGGTAGGGAAGAGCGCACCGTTTGCAGAGATTCATGCCAAAGCCACACAGCAAATTATGCTCACAAATGATTGTGAAACTATTTGGACAGCTTTGAGGTGGAAGTGTTTGAGTTAAGAAAAACAAAAAAAAGACACATAAATGTATATTTTGTACGCATTTTGTATCTCTAAGTGTTTTTTTTTGTTTGGACACATTTTTGCTTACAGGGCTACCCAAAAAATGTCGCCACCACTTCGAGTAAGTAGATCACTACTACTAAATATTAAATTGTTTAATTTTGCTTCTGTAACAATATGGACTGTAACTGACTTTACTTTAATCTCTTTGTTTTTCGTTTTTCTCCATTAAGCAAGAGACAGATGCCCAGATAAAGATAAAGCACTGCATCTACAGCTTATGTGTGACTCAGAGTATGTACATTATATGTGTAATTTTATATAAAATTTATTGCATGTGTGATATTGCAAAATGTTTCCAGGTTTAAGTGAAACTGCTACGATACAAAAATCATAGGATGTTAATGCTGTGTGATTATTGAAGATCTTATGTACACTAACACTTCTGCGTCTGTGATTGCAGTGGCTGAAGTGCTTCGCTCGAGCCGACGTCCGTTGGAGCATGAAGGACATGATTCACCCCAAAGATCTATTCTGCCAACAGCAACATGTCATGTGTAGTTACAGTGAAATGTGCGCTTGGCCAGAGAAGAGTTTTTAAATCTTCAACAGCAGCAGCCATGTAACATATTGTAATATATTGACTCATTTTAGTTACATATTTTACAAGACAGAAGTCCAAGCTTTGAATACCCCCTGTGCTATAATCTTTTGTCTATAATCAATAATCTATCAATATGCAGATTATTTTTCCCTCAAAGCCCATATTGTGATACGGATGTACTGTGTACCTTCACACAGAAACCAAATGTGTTTACTTACATAAGAGAAGCAGGTCGACCACAAAGCAGCTGAATAGAAATGCTATATTTGCTCAGTTGCTTTTTGCTCCCTGGTATTTATTTGTGTTTTTGTCTTTCAATGTATTTTTAAATGTTGAAAGAAAACAGCACTGTCAAGTTGATTTTTCCTGGAGCATAAATCTGAGGAATCAATAAAATGATTTATTTACAATCATTTACAAAGGGGGCTCTTTTCTTTTTATAGAAAAGTTATTGTGTTATGTTATGTTTGTTTATTAAACACATCTGGAAGCATTTCTTTCTTTTTTACAACGATTCACTGTCTCCTGTTCAAACGGATGAGAGTCTAAGGCAGATTAATGACATTTTGGGGTTTGGTGCCTTGCTCAAGGGCACTATTGCAACAGCAGGAATAATAGCGGTATAACCTAGAGGTCAAACGCTGCGCTTGTCTCCACGACAGCTATGACTTGTGCATAGATAACAACTTGAACTAAGAAAGTCCTAAGTTTGAAAGTATTTGTCGTGTTGTGTCGTACATCTGAAAGAGTGTGTGTGTAAGAGAAGAGAAAGAAGAGGTTTGGAAGTGGGTGTTGTACTTCCATTGTCAATATTGTGTTTGGCGGAAGTTGAGTAGGTGAGTGACAGGGTTTTGTTTCTTCCTTTACTTTTGATGTGTAAACTTGCATCACATTCAGTTTCTGTTGAGCTGCCTCCAGTGTGTGGCAACGAGCTGCATTGTTACAACCTTAAATTCCAAAATCATTTTATAGCAAGGTGTGTATGTCTTGCTGCCTCTCTCTCTGTCTCTCTTTCTCACACACACACACAAGCAATACACATGCACACCTGTGCGATTGGCAAGTGTAAAAAAGCAACTGAGGGTCTCAGCGAGTGTGTGCTACCCTTTCCTGTGTGCTGGAGAAAGAGGAGAGCGAAGCGTCTTCACTGAGATGCTATCGCTTCGCTCAGCTTTGAGCTCTTCATCTAGTCTGAAACAAAAAGACCGCAAAAATACCACAGACCGAACCACAAGCACTGACAGAGAGAGAAAGACAAAAGAAGCGTTACAGCTCTGAGCTGAGAATACTATAAGAAAAAAAACAACAAAAAAAGTTTTATAAAAACTGGAAGAAAACTTGTTGCAATGTGTTTTATTGGATGAAATAAAATATGATACAATACAACAATACAACAAGAGTATATCTTTATTAACAATGCATATGTGTGTGTCTCTGTGTGTGTGTGTAGGTTATTTAATAATTCATCAATCAAATTGTATTATAGTAAATCATAAGGACAGTGAAGGAACATGCTTGATGCATTCCTGTAAATACACTGCCTACGTTAACAAAATCCAACATGCTGTATCAACAGACTTCAACATTGTCTCTGTACCACATATGCAATCAAAGCAAGGTGGACCAAGATTACATTCAGTTGCCAATTTGATAAGAACAGCTCAATGTGTGGTCAAGATTATTCACAACATTAATGCTATACAGTTCAACGGCAGCACCAAAGCCCCTTGGTAATGACGAAAGAGATGGTAAAGTTGACTCAGCACCTCTCTAAAACAGTTTGAAGATTACTGAACATTATAACTTTTACAAATGTTGAACTGTTGTATTAAACAGCTTTAGTTTTAGCTAGATGTACATAATGAACTAAATGAATGAAATGAAATGAACTGGTATCTGCATGTGCAGTACATTATTGTGATTCTTTCTAGATGTTTCAGGAAATAATGTTATCACATTTATCAGTTCCAGGAAACATGACTGAATGCAGATCACAGCAGATTTGTAGGTCATCTAATGCAGAGGATTTGTTTCTGCTGTTTCTAATGACAAACAGACGCGTGTGTATTTAAAACAAAAGATGAAAAATGAAATACATGTGAAGATGATAAACTATACACAATATATTTTGTAAACCATTTGTGTGTGTTGTATCCTGCACCTTCTTTTCATAATTACATATAGCAAGCTGCTGTGTGCAATTTGTATTGTCACTACCTAAGCAAGTATAAATATAGTGATATTAAATTATCTGTTAAAACTATGAAGCTTTCGAGAGAAACACTAATGTATGTTATGTTACTGTTTAAAAGTTTCAAAATGTAATTAATACAGCCTCCACTAATTAGGTTCTTGTTAAAAAATGTATCATGTAACTTTAACTTCTGTCTGAATTTCAACTGAAATAATCAAAAAAAAAAAAACAAAGACAATGTGGCAGATGTTGAACTGAAGCATGTAACTACATTATATATTACATATGCCTTTCAAAAAAGAGTAATTATGTAAATTCACATGAAGGCATTTATTTACATGTGAAGTGTTGGACTTCACATTAAAAAAAACTAATTTGACTGTTTCTGCATGAGACGGTGTGTACGTGTTCCTGAGTGAGTAATACATATTAAATATGCACAGCGTGCCGTATATCAGAGATCAGTGAAACACAGCGATTTTACATGTAAGGCCATTACCTTTAAAATATTCAACAACCATTAATATTAAGACAGCCGTGAATGGTAAGATTTCTCATTTCAAACATGTAAATGTAAAGCGCTGAAGTTGTATCATACAAATACCATGCAGACAACATATAGTGCAATATGTCGGCTCATGCGCTACAGGATCAACAGATAGAGTCGTATATATTTCTACAGGTCGAATCAAACACATGATCTATTTTAACCATCAAAGTCTCAAACCAAACAAAAGAGAGTGCACTGGATGACTACTGTGTATATAAACCCTATATATTCAAGTACGATGGAACAGTGGACTCTTTTGAATACATTCACTTTGCTCATCACATTTTGAACATTAAATACAAAATTACAAATGATTGATTTGATGATTTTGGAATGATGATTTCAGCTTTTTTAGCAAAAGCCAAAAATAAAATATAAATTCAAATGCAGAGATTATTTTCCAATCCCACATAGACAGTCCCAACAGGAAGTCCTAGTAACATAAGAAATGATGAACAAGCATGTAAGTATGTTTCCTCCATTTCTACTTACACCTCTCGTTGCTCTTGGTTTCCTTTTCACAGCTTCATATCCCACAATGCCTGAAAGTGCCAGTACAGCAGCAGAGCAGTGACAAGTGAGCCAAACTGGGGAAGGACTGGTGAAGAAGCATTGATGCTCATTTACTGGTATTGAGGATGCTGCTATTTTCAGTATAAAGACGTCTTTTCTGACTGCATTTGAATGTCAAGCTATGCGACGCTACTGTGCAGGGTACTCTCTCACTGGCTTTCCCTGGTCACCCACTACACACACACACGCACATACACACACACACACATTCAAGTTTCAGGTTGGATACCCCCTGTGTGACTAAGATAGGGAAGCCCATGCAGGTGTATTTGTGAGTGACTCACCCTGAAACAGAAGTATGGAAAGGTGAAGTGGGCTAACTGAGAGCGTTTTGACTGGGTCTCCCCTCTGAGACGAAGCATCAACAGATTCCCCAGATTACTGAAAATGACACAAAACTTCAAAGCAACCTGGTTTCCATCACGGTTTCATTTGCAGTTAATGTCATAGTAATTCATGAAAAACAAAAATCAAAGTTAAGTTAATGACAAGCATCTGCATTTTGAGGAAATAATGTGACCGGGAAAAGAAAATGTTCCACAGCACAGTTTAATGAGACATAATATTGTCTCTCCCTCTCTATTATCATGTTCTCACTCTCTATTTGTTTCTCTTTGTCTATCTCCACCCACAGATGGAACAGAGAAATCGCCCACAGGAGAGCAAAATGTCAGCAATTGTTGCCCATTACTAAATCGGTGCATTTACTTTCCATCACTGAACAGGAAATAGGACGGGCCCTGAGTTGCGCCACAGCCGCTGTCACTCTCCTCACTTGATGTGAAGGAAATTTCACTTCCCTACAACTGTTAGACCAGATTTCACATCAAGCGACAGGTGTCATTATGCTTAATTGTCGCTATGACGTTGAAGCTATGTCCCTTTGTTGTTAATGGAAAATGCTGCTTTACAAGCGTGGTCATGTTACACATCAGTTGTGTTGACATTTTTACTTTAGATTTCAACAGAACTTTACACGGGTCATCACAACACAAGCCCTCTGAACCAGGTAGCAGCTCTCTCCAAAGTCCAAGTCAAAATCATTACATTTCAAATAACTCTGATGACATTTGAGGGTCATTTTACACCATGACTCCTCTCACTGTACGCAGCAAATCACTGAAGACATTTGAGACGTTGAGCTGCTGCTGTTGCTGCTGCTGCTGCTGCTCTGCTCTCTGTGCGCTCAGACATCCAAACATGCAGACTTCTAGCCACACCCCACCGCTGATGTCACAGCAGGTGTTTTCCATTAGCTCTGTTTTTCTTTTCAGCTCTCAAAGGTGAAACACCTGCTGTGACATCACTGGTTGGGGTGATGGCCAGTTTAAAGTGTCAGCCCTTGCTGAGTGGAGCGGCAGCAGTTTTGTGACTAATGATTCAGTGATTCACTGTTCATACAATGAAAGAGCAACAATTCCTGCTTTTGCTGCCATCTAGCTGTTGAAATCTTCACCTTGATGCAGTGTATGTAATACTGATTATTAACATGTTGTTTGGTGCGGTTAGCCGTGAAACACAGATGCTTTATTTAAATGAACTCTATCAGAGTGATATTATCACCATAACAACAGTATTAACACATTATTAATATACAGTGTGTAAAGGCCAAAACTTAGAGCACTGTCACAAGCTGGCTCAGAGTGAGTGACAAAAAGTCACACGTGAAGAAAGGGCCAAAATAACATGTATTATGAATTTACTATACTAAAATACAATAATATGGTATTACAGATGATAATTTTTTGAAACTGAAAGGATATTGTGTTAATCTTACCACAATATGTCATATTACACACAGGAGGGAGGTCAAAGTCAATCACAGAGCAGATTCTTGCTTGAGGAAATTCATTGGGCCAAATTTTTTGTTCACATTTGGGTGTGAAGACAAGTGTCTTGAAATGTGTAATGTGCCATTGAATGCACAGTTTGATTTACAGAAACAGCGTTGTGTTTAGTGTGAGGTGTTCTGCTACACACACCCAGACAGATAATAAAATGTGCTGTGTGCTGTTTTTTTTTTTATTTTCCTACCTCATCCTTCTCAGCCTACATACTGTGCAGTGCTGCACTTGTGTGTCAGTAGATTGTGGATAAAGACTGTTCGATGCTTCAAACCAGAGGCAGAGGAGTGTTAAGTGCAGATGGGTGGGCTCCACTTCAAAACCGCTTGCAGACCACGACCGTGCTGCAGGAGGTCTCTGCAAAGCGCCACTGCAATGATCCCATTTGACACCAGCAGAGAAGAAGGTTACAGGTGGGGCGTGGTTTGATATCTCACTGAATTATCTCTTGGCAGCCTCCAACAAGCACCACAAAGACCTGTGTAGTAGCTTTTGTCGTCTGAAAGATTAAAATGGACCAAAAATGGATTCAGATTCTGGTGATTCTGGTGTTTTATCAACGTAAGTTCAACCTAAATTTTACTGATAAATTTATTCACTACCATGTGACAGCTTTAAAGTGTTCTCTGGTCTTTTTACTTTTGCGTGCTTGAAAACAGAGAGGTGAATTATAGCTTATTAATGCTCACATTTTATCACACCTTTTAGAAATGGCTTCAGGAGCTGACAAAAAAGCAAAGGACGGGGACGAAGTGGAAATTAAATGCGCGCCTACTCAGACGTCCTCTATGGTCATGTGGTTTCGAGTTCTGGACAACTCAGACATGGACTACATTGCATCTTTTGACATAAATGGCAACTTAAAAAGTGGTACTTCCCTCAAGACTGTCTTCAATAACAATAACATGAAGAAAAATATTCTTACGTTGAAATCCTTCAGCAAGAGCAGGGACAGCGGCCTCTACTGCTGTGCCACATTGGTGAAAAACGTTCTGGTATTTGGCGAAACAACCCGACTGAGTGGAGGTTAGTTTTGTTTCATAAGTCTGGTCTAATCACGACATGATGGATGCTTTTCACTAACACTTTACATTGTTCCTCTTTGTCTTATTAAAAAAAAAAAAAAAAAAAAAAAGTTGAAGTTCCAACACGTCCACAGGACATCACTACCAAACCAACTCTACCCACAACTACCAAGGCCTGTGTTTGTAACAAGCAAGGTAAATGTTAATATTTAACAGTGCATCAAAACATCAACACATCACTTGTTTACTGTGTAATTCCAGATTACAGTCTTGGTGGTGGTAAATGAGGTCATGTTTTGTAGGGGGAAAAAGTGACATGTTTTGCTCTCCAATCATTCTGGGCCCACTGGCTGGTGGCTGTGGCCTTCTTCTTCTGCTCCTCATCATCATCACCTTTTACTGCAACCGTAAGTTCATCTTAAATCTACATCTTAAACCTAAAAGAACAGCCCTCTTCTAGGCTACCGTTACATCTCGTTTTTGTTGAATGATGCGCTTTGGAAAGCTGAAACCTGTTGTGTTAAATTCTACATTTTCCTCCTGAATTTTTCAGTCTGTTATTTTTTCTGCCTTTTTTTATTTAAACTTTGGTGACTTTGCTGTAATATAAGTGTAATGATTTGCATGAGTTTTGCGTGAGTTTTAAATAATACTTTTGATTTACTGTAGATACGAGGACACGGAGGTGCCCACACCATTACAAAAGAAAGTAAGCTACTTATTTAACTTTTTTTTTTCATTTAATATTGTCTTTCCACCTGGGGCCATAGCCAGGATTTTAGAACTGGTAGAAATACAGAGGTCATTAGTTTAAGTCCTCCGACCTCATCACAGACATCAAAATGAAAGTGTCTACATTTTTGTAATTATTGCTTTTTTCCTTTTACTTATTGACTTAGCTGTCCAGTTATACACACACACACACACACACACACACACACACACACACACACACATATATATATATATATATATATATATATACATATATAAATATAAATGTTTACAAAGGTTTCCTGATTCCTTTTTAATTCTATTGTGAACACAGAACTGAGTCACTGAAATAATCTATTTTCTGATTATTATTTCTAAATACTTTGTTTATCTTGTATAGACCACGGACGATGCCTCCTGGAAAACAATTGATGACCAACAGACACGTTTAATGTAAATGGCTCTAAAAATGTCGCTCTGCAATTATTTTACAGTGTTGTGTTAATATTGCAGAAATAAGTCTTCATCTTATTTAGTTTTATGACAAATTCACAGTGAATAATTGGCAACCTAAAATAATCTCGCTGTGTGTGATAGAAAATATAACAAGTGTTTAAAGTGGTTCAGTATTCAACGCATCAAATACTTTGAAAGCTTTTCATTAGTTCACATTACATTGTGGTTTCATGGTCGATGACGCCGCCCTGTCACATTCAGTTTGAACTCTTTTAATGAAATAACATGAGACGACATGATTTTCTATTTATCCAAGCCCCACGAGTCTTGATAAAGACAGAAAACAGGGAATGGAAACCGAATAGAAACCAAGAACATTAGAATTCAGTATTCTGATTTGTTTATTTCCCTTTAGAAATTTATGAAAATGTATGTAATCAATTTTGCTTTTGTATAGATTTCACTTATAGTTACATGTACAGTCTCTGCTTTTAACAGCCCATGTTTTCTTTCCTTTTTAGAATAGTCTCCCTACACAGATTTTTGACCGTAGTTATTGTAATTTAGTTTTGTGATTTAACTTCAGCCCTGAAAAAATCAAATAACTACAGTTAAGAAAATGATTTGCTCTGCTTAACATTCTGTCCTGCAGGAGGCTAACTTCAAATTTTGAAAACTTTAAATAACCTTTTCTACAATTTTATATAGTTATCTTTTGATTCTTTTTTCTCACAATTCAAATTTCTCTGGTTTCAAAGTAATGACAAACAAATAGTATTTTTGTTTTTTAGAAAATGGATGTACAGTATTTCACAATTATCCCACTGTCTGAATTTTTGTAACTGAAAAACAAAATTGAAAAAAAAAAGAAGAAAATAATGAAATAAAAGAAAATAAATAAAAAATAAAATGTAGACAAGCATTCTTTCTTGGCTGCAATGAATTGTAGTTGTCTTTATTTATGTTGCTTTCTTTCTTTCTTTTTTTTTTTTACACATCAAACCCACTCACTTGAATCCCCCATCAGTCATTCAGGGTCTTGGCACAAAAATATAAAGTTAGAAGTTGAAGTTTGTTTTGTTGAAACCCCCCCCCCACGTCAAAAGGAAGTGGGCTGCTACAGCTGTATGCACAGTGAAAAACCACTAAGTCGAGAGAGAAAAATATTTTAAGAGGAGATTTGCTTCCCGTTCTGTTTAATACGAACACACTTCCCTTGCACCTGAAAGAAAACAGTCTGTATTGATTTAACATTGCAGTTATTGATTCTTCCTGCTATATTTGGCTTTTTTTTTTATTTAAGACAGTTCATGTTAACTTGAGTTTCTTGTTTGTAGAAACCAGACTCTCATATAACAACTACACCATTCTAATTTTCATATTTATTTTATTCAATTAGTTTTCCCACATCTAAAATATCTCTCATATCTTTTGACTCACACCAACACACGCAACCTTTGACATGACGAAAAAATAACCTTGGGGAAATTATAGTGATGTGACTTTACAGTTGAAAGCTCTTTGTAAATTACACAGTGTTGTCTTATATAGAGCAAAAATTTTTTTTTTTTTTTTTACAGTATACAAAATGGCAGTTTACAAAGCTTGTAACCACCTTGGTTCACTAAATGCACTTCTAGACACCAGTAATCTTTTTCTCTACATGGCCAAATACATAAAAAAAGACCCTTCTCGTGACAGATATTTCTCTACAGAAAGTAAAAGGCATTTGCAAGAAGCTCTCGGATACAGAATTAAGCAGAACACCTCCTGGAAATCCTCCACATATTTAATAATGTAAACTATGTGCTGTCCAAAATAAAAGCAAACTAAGCTGTACACTAGTGTCAATGGCATCTGACATCAAGATTGCACAAACATCCCAATACTATACACCCACTCCGTACTGCTCCCACGCAAGCTGACAGTAACCACTGCTCCAACCAACATCACAATACCACCAGGCTTACATAACAGGTGTGTTGTGATATTAGTGTATCATTGGAAAGATAGAAACTGTCAGCTGAGATGTACATGCAGGACTCTGATGAGCAAACCCTTCCTTTCTTCAGCACATTCAGCACAACAACCAGCAGAACATTTGTTTTTTATTTTTTACATCTATTAAACTTTCTCTTCTCTTTCCCCACAGTTTCCCTCCTTTCTTTGTCTGTTCATCGCTCACTCTTTACATCGATCTTGTTTTAAAAAGTCTTCTTTTCATTTGCTCCAAAGATAGAAACCAAAAGCTCCTCATTCTTGAATACATGTCAAACCGAACAAGAAAGGTGCTGCACGCAGAGAGTGTGCGTGTGTGCATGTGTGCGTGTGTGTGTGTGTGTGCGTGTGTGTGTGTGTGTGTGTGTGTATGTTATGGGCATGTTTAGGCTTGTCTTTCATCCAGTATACATTCTTGACGATCTAGAAAAAAGAGAATAATTTTCCGGAGAGCAGCTCCCTCACTGATGCGTCCCTGTGGCCTTGAGGACAAATTGCCCCAACAACCTGCAACAACATGTGCCACATGAAATGTCAGAGGAAAAGCGTCGACATTTATCCTCATTGTGTTTGACATGTTACATTTTTTTTATCAGGTGAAATTGTGAAAAAGATGACAGCAAACCTTACCAAGTGCTCTAGCTCTTGCCTCCCTGCTTTGTAGATCTTGGCACAACGTCTGAGCTTAGCTGCGCTGACAGCTGGTCAGTGGCAGACGGCTCTTCAGCATGGTGTTTCTGAAACCCAAGGTTACAGTTTTTAAAACATATATAAAATGGACAGAAGAAGCAGCACTTTTGCATGCAATAATTAAATTAAAATTAAATACAGATTTGATGTAATTAGTTGAGGAATTTGACACGAGACAAAGCAGAGAGAGGAGAGTGCATCACATGCAGCTGTGTGCAGCCAGCAGGAGCAGATTGGCTCCACCGATCGTTTTTTGCGCTTTGGCTTAATTATAAGCGCACAGATTAATTTTGTAATGGTGCATATCCAGCTTTATTTAGGTTGCCATTCAACAGGTGATTTTCTTACTTTTGACTTTGACTTTGACTTGCTCTTGCCCTGTAACAAAGTTAACACCTTGGTTAAGCTCAACAGCTCCACGTTGCTCTGTGAGGCGGTGACCACTGATACAGTAGATGCTAGTAAACGGCCGATAGAGGGCGCCATGTAACAACGACAACTTAAAGTGTCTAAAATTAGTAACATAATGTACTTATGGACTGCCATTCTTCAGTAACAGATTTTTTAATAGTAGATGTCAGGCTGTACAAAGATTCAGATCTGGGCCTGTATTCATCACAATGTTTCTTAAGTTCAGACTTAAGTGAAAGATCAAAGTAGAAACCCTTCACTCTTGCTCCAATTTAGGAATAAAAGCTATTCATAAAAATTCTTACCGCTTAAAAATACCCTTAAATTTAACACAGCTCACAGCTACAGTTACACAGTAGATCCAAGATGACTGCAGCACACTGGGCTGGGCCCTGGTCTTCAGTTACTCTTTTAATTTTATTAAATAAAGGTGAAAGAGTAATAAATAACACCGACAGATGAAAGAATCTTGATCTCACGCAGATTTTCTTTTTACCTTTGATTTGTCTGTTTTAGATTTGGACTCTGGGGCGTCTGGGAGCAGGGTGCCAGACAGGGAGTCCAGAACAGCACCAGCCATTGGCTAGGAAAGAAAAAAAAAAGTGATAAACAAACTTATCAAACATGATCAACTCATAATCAGTTCATGTACTAAACTAGTGCAGTAGCCCATAGTACTTTAGTTTACAATCAGAAACATTTTTGTATAGACCAATGTCCAACTTGTAACTTTCATTTGTTAATTACTAGGTAGAATTATTATTTAATTATTAAGGATGGTATCTAAGAACCAGCACAACATACTCTAGCAACCTTTTCATAGCAGACATTTTGCACAGGTGGAAATAATACCATTAACAATGGCTAATTTACATTAAGTGTCCCAGTAAGCCGTTCCAGTCAACCAGTAAGCACAATACCAAGACCCTGGAACTGCCTCACCTATATGGAATGCAGCTATGTCAAAATATCATACAGGGGTACAGGGTCGTATAGGGACGAGGTGCAAAGGTAGTTTAGTTTCTGTGCTACCTTCAGGGGCTCTGAGTCGAGCACAGGAGGTTCCAGCTTTGTTGTGGCTGCAGATGATGCAGCTGGTGCAGCAGGCTTGGGAGCAGCAGAGAAATCACAGGAAAGCAGGTCTAAGGCTGTGTTATCATCCATGGTCTTCTACAGGGCAGAGGAAGACAGGGGATTAAATGCCATCTTCACATTCTATTTAAAAAAAATAAATAAATGTTATCTTTATGATGGACTTACCTCCTTTGGTGCTGCAGCTGCTTTTGCCTTTGCTTCTGCCATTTTCTTTAAAATGAAATTGATGTACATGAGACACACAGTAAAGCAACAATGAACACCGTACTTTAAACAAACATGTCCCAGTAAACATTTAAGTAAAAATCCTCAAACCAAATTACCTTATTCTCTTATCTAGAATTAAAAGAACAATAAAAGTCATACAGGGTCAGTTATCTGTCACATATTGTAATAATTAGCACACACAGTATTCATAGTGCACAAATGTAGAAGTCAGTTTACCTTAAGATCTTCCTCAGAGGGCTGATACTCTGGAGGCAGCGTGTCGTCTCTCTCTCCCATCTTAATCAGCTTCTCCTCAACAATCTTTTTCTCCTGCAACAACCAAACAAATCAGGACAGCTGAAGTTATTGGCAGACCACTGAGGAGCATTCTGAAATTGAAAATATTCTCTCCGATGTTGGCTACCTTGACAATGTCTTTGGCAGGAACAACTGGGATGGGCTGAGGGGCGGGTGTGATATCCTTCAAGGTGTCTGACAGAGCATCCAGGGCGTTGTCTGCTCCTGCTTCCATCTGAGTGCACAAACACACAGACAAAAAGGTTATAACGGAACTTTTTAGAGGTTTTAGAGACTTAAGTAGTTTGTGTGTTTACCCCTGGTTGAGTTTTTGTGGGAACACAAGCAGCAGACTTCACCGTCGGAGCAGCACTGGAGGCAACAAAGTCTCCCGCCAAGGCATCCAGAGCAAAGTCTCCAGAGGACTGAGGGAGGCACAGAATGAGATTTATAAAATCTGTGTAGGCAGGGATTACTATGTTAATATTGCTTCCACCGATCAATAGTGTACCTGTGCAGGAGGAGCTGAGGGGGTGACAACAGGAGCCTTGACTGCAGGAGCTGTAGAGGAGGTCATGAAGTCTCCAGACAAAATGTCCAGAGCCTCACCGGTGCCCATGGAGGGCTGCAGGAGGAGAGCGAGGAGGGACATGGAGGAGAGGAAATAATGAGGAACTGTGTGCTTTAACTCAGCTCATATTGCTTATGAGTGAATGTGTCCCAGTCTCACCTCAGGTTTAGGAGGAGCCAGTTTCATTAGTTCCTCCTTATTAAACCTGTAATCTGGAGGGAGTGTGTCCTCGCGTTCTCCCACACGCACACCCTTCTCCTTCTTAAATTTTCCCTCCTATGAAAAGGGAAAAGAAAATCTCAAACTCACAAAAATACACATGAACTTACACATGCACACATGGAAATAAACAAGAGGAGGGCATTGTGCCATCATGGCTCTAAACGATACTTTGATTGGGTGTGTGTATGTTGGTGAGAGATTGCGTGTTCCATACCGAGACAATGTCCTCTGGTCTGAGTTTGGGGGATTCAGGTTTTGGTACATCAGCTGGCAACGTGTCGCCAAGAGCGCTGAGAGCATCCAGAGACAGAGAGTCACCCTGAGGAGAGAACAGGACATTGTAATTTAGCTGTGATAATTTTGATAGCAAGCTCAGGTTTCAAGTTTCTCTATTTGTCACATTCACAGAGCTACAGAATAAAACAGTGGAAATAAAGGGACGCTCAGTTACTATGAGGGATCAGATAAAATAAAATAAAATAAAATAAATATGTACGCATGCACATCTATATATATATATACAAAACATACATACAATTTAGGTTAGTCTTCAAAAATAAGTGAAAAAAGTAAAAAGACAATCCAACACAAGAGAGGGTAAAGTAAGACATCATTGTCAAAGAACAAAAGTGTTATGGCTACCTTCTCAATCTTGGGTTTTCCATGTTGTGGTTGAGCAGGCTTGACATCAATTCTGCCGGGTGGACAAACTGTCCTCTGCAGAGAAACAGGGACATACAGTACAATGAGACATGTGGACTGAAAAGACATGGGACACTAGAGGATGCAAGGAGCGACACACACAGGTCAGAGTAGAAACAAAACTATTTCTATTTATTCTACTAACTTGGTAAAGAGACTTATACTATAGGAGGACAAAACAGTTCACAGATATGCAAACACACATACACACACACACACACTCACACATTCACAGCTATAGCTTTACCTCTGGTATCTTGGTAGAAGGAGGGACGGGGGCCTGAACTCCAGAAGCTTTAGTTGGAGCCACAAAGTCTCCAGCGAGTAACTCCAGAGCTGATAAATTCTCTACTTTGCCCTGGAAAAGTGAGACAACAGCTGTTAGTGGTAACACAGAGCTCCCGCTGACATAAAGAAATAAAATTAAAACATTGTTAGAAACTAAACTTATTTGGTTTCTTGCAGAGAGTTTCTTGCAGATTGACACCATTCTCTCACTTTACAAAACAGCTAGCTTAGCTAAGCGCAAAGACTGGAAACAGGAGGAAACAACCAGCCTGGCTCTGTCCAGAGGCACAGAGCCCCCTGTCCCCTGTAAAACCATAATTTGTCTTTGACTTATAATGTGTATATATTAAAGAAACAGCACCAGATCCTACCATCACTCCTGTTTGTTCAAAAATAAAATCATCTGTTGAAGTGATTTATCTGTACATCACCCTGCTTTTGGCTGATTTTGGCTGCAAGCACTAATAAAAACAGCATATCAACAGCGTACCTGTGCAGGAGGAGCTGGGGGGGTGACAACAGGAGCCTTGACTGCAGGAGCTGTAGAGGAGGTCATGAAGTCTCCAGACAAAATGTCCAGAGCCTCACCGGTGCCCATGGAGGGCTGCAGGAGGAGAGAGAGTGAAGGATCAATGTGTTTACCTCACAGTTGGACATCATATGTAAAAGCTCCACACTATAAAGTATGATTTTAAGAGCCTTAATGTGAATGTGTCCCAGTCTCACCTCAGGTTTAGGAGGAGCCAGTTTCATGAGTTCCTCCTTATTAAACCTGTAGTCTGGAGGAAGTGTGTCCTCGCGTTCTCCCACACGCACACCCTTCTCCTTCTTAAATTTGCCCTCCTATGAAAAAGGAAAAGAGGAGTAAATAAGGCATCCTCTGGTGAGAAAAGGTTTCTGTGAGGAACTGAAACACAAATGCAACAGAAATGTCGGCAACAGGAGGCTTTCTGTGTCAGTGAGTGTTTGTGTCCCATACCGAGACGATGTCCTCAGGCCTGAGTTTGGGGGATTCAGGTTTTGGTTCGTCTGGTGCCAACATGTCGCCAAGAGCACTGAGAGCATCTCCAGATATAGAGTGACCCTGAGGAGAGAACAGGAGATTGTGCTTTACTGATCTGTCATACATTGATAGTTTCCCTATGGTAATGAAAAATAGGAGAAAAAGAAATCTTTAAATCTCTATCTCACCTGATCAGTTTTGATCTTGCCGTCAGTGGTGTCCTTTCTAGTAGTGGCTTTCTTATTAGCAGGGGGAACTGCAGAAGATTCAACTCTCTACACCAGACAAGACAGATTACATTAAATTTATACTAATAACCTGACTGATTTAAGAGTTGCACTTCAGTGATATGTGACATAACATTAGAAAACTGTCATTTCCGTTTGAGACAGTCCCTAACTTCAGCTCATCGATTTCAGCTCTACTGTCAAGTCAGTAAGGTGCCATGCAGACTTCAATACGGGATCATGAGCTAAAAATAACAGCTAGGCAACATCAGCAAAGCCTTATACTGTAACGAACAAGAAATCTAGGGAAATGAATGGACAGATCAATGTCAGAATATTGAAATTAAAACGACCAATACCTCTGTATTTTTAGCCTGTGGCCTATTTGTTTATTCATTCACTAGCCAAAGCGCTTATCCTTTTAGGTCTGCGGGGGGGCTGGAGCCAATCCCTGCTGACATTGGGCAAGGGTATGGTACGCCCTGGACAGGTCGCCAGTCTTATCAAAGGGCTGACACTCACATTCACACCTATGGGCAATTTAGAGTCACCAATTAACCTAAACCTGCATGTTTTTGGATTGAGGGACGAAGCTGGATTACCTGGGGGGAAAACCAACGCAGGCACAAGGAGAACATGCAAACTCCACACTGAAAGGCCCCAGCCGGCCGGCAGGTTCGAACACAGAACCTTCTTGCTGTGAGGTGACAGTGCTAACCATCGCATCATCTTGCCAGTATTTGTCACTATTTCTTTAAAGCTTGGCAAATCTGCATCGTAGGAAGTCACTGTCCTGGCAGGTAGCACTTCCTGTTCAAACTGTCGAGACAGCAGTCACCCGGATACTGAGGACAAAGTCTGACTGATGATTTTGACAGACAAGATCTGAAATCTAAGATTTATGGACGTTTATCCTTGATGGACATTACAGATCATGCTACCACTGTAATGTAAGAGTGAGTTACTCTGACTGTATCAGTGTGTGTATGATGTCTTAGACTGACTGATTTGACATATGCGTACACCTACAGCAGAACAAAACGTATCAACAGATTCGATAGGCCAAGTGAGAGCTTGCTGCACTGTACCGTGGCAGTGGAAGCTGAAAGTCCAGCCTCCAGGGAGAAATCGTCTGAGACTTTCTCCATCTTGGCTTTCTTGTCAGCAGGAGGAGCAGGACACACAGCCACAGGGGGAACTGCAGAGGCTTTCTACAATAATCAACAGAGACGTCATTAGATGAAAGAAATGAGATACTATCTTTGCTTGTATTATTTTGTCTACTGTTTTCCAGTTATAAATCAACAGCGTACCTGTGCAGGAGGAGCTGGGGGGGTGACAACAGGAGCCTTGACTGCAGGAGCTGTAGAGGAGGTCATGAAGTCTCCAGACAAAATGTCCAGAGCCTCACCGGTGCCCATGGAGGGCTGCAGGAGGAGAGAGAGTGAAGGATCAATCATTATCATGCATTTATTGATGTGTTTACCTCACAGTTGGACATCATATGTAAAAGCTCCACACTATAAAGTATGATTTTAAGAGCCTTAATGTGAATGTGTCCCAGTCTCACCTCAGGTTTAGGAGGAGCCAGTTTCATGAGTTCCTCCTTATTAAACCTGTAGTCTGGAGGAAGTGTGTCCTCGCGTTCTCCCACACGCACACCCTTCTCCTTCTTAAATTTGCCCTCCTATGAAAAAGGAAAAGAGGAGTAAATAAGGCATCCTCTGGTGAGAAAAGGTTTCTGTGAGGAACTGAAACACAAATGCAACAGAAATGTCGGCAACAGGAGGCTTTCTGTGTCAGTGAGTGTTTGTGTCCCATACCGAGACGATGTCCTCAGGCCTGAGTTTGGGGGATTCAGGTTTTGGTTCGTCTGGTGCCAACATGTCGCCAAGAGCACTGAGAGCATCTCCAGATATAGAGTGACCCTGAGGAGAGAACAGGAGGAGAAATGAATAACTAACCCCAGAAAGAAGAAAATGAGAGCAGTGGAAGGTTTCAGAGAGAAATCCGAAGCAGTTTTCTCCACCTTGTTATCAGCAGGAGCAGCAGGACATACGGCCACAGGAGGAACTGCTTTCTACAACAGCAAACAGACACACCACTTATTACAATTAAGTAGTAGAGTATAGCTGCAACTATCATTTGTAAGTAGTTAAATATTTCACTTTGAGGAATTGTATCATGTAGTAATAACTCAGAAAAACAGGACGTTCAAGCACCTTTAGCGCCTCATAAAGTTTTAAGCAAAGTATTTCTGTAAATTTCAAGACAGATATCTGACACTAAAGTACCGTAGCAGGAACAGAGGGAAGTCCAGCCTCCAGAGAGAAATCATGGGAGGCTTTCTCCATCTTGGCTTTCTTATCAGCAGGAGGAGCAGGACACACAGTTTTTACAGGGGGTGGTGCAAAGTTAGCAGGGCCAGCAGATGAGGCGCTGACACTGTCAACATGGCCTTTCTTCTATATATTACATGGAGAAAAAAAAAAGAAGGTGAGGATTTGTTAGACTTTTAAAACAACAAAAACATTTGCTGTCAATTTCACACAAGACTTTAAGGGTACACAATACCATCTTCAACAGACATGCCAAACTGGGAATTTTAAATATGGATTTTTGCCATGAGGGTACATGGGATGGTGAAGGTAGAGTCTGGACAAACAACTGAGTGCTACATGCTACACATCTTTGCCTTGAGGACTCTGACCTCTTGCTTCTTGGGTGCAGCTGGATCAGTGGAAGTCATGAATCCAGCTGAAAGGGAATCCAGGGCCTCGTCTGTGCTCAGTGGTTTCTGAGAGAAAAAAAAAAACCCCACCAGATAACGACTCAAAACTTATTCTTAAAATAATCTTTGCTGACTGACTTTAAAAGGAATGACTCCACAGTATGCTCCATATCAGCCACATGATCCTCCACTAGAGGGCATGTACGACTAAGTCAGAAGGCAAACAAAAGGGCAAAATAATGCAAACCAGACTGCATGTACCAATAGGGAAGGAAAAGTACAGGCACACCCTTAAAATTCCATGGAAACAGAAAAAATACAAATACACTGCCTAAAAAGACACATTCGACGTATAGAGTTGAGTAGATTTAGCAAAAACATGATAAACACAAAAACTAAAATCACAACTCAAACACAACTCACACTGGTGGAAAGTATCAGGGTGGAAACAGATCATGAGACACAGAACCGAATAAGACTCTTGCTGGGCAAGATGACAAAGTGGGAGTTGGTTGTGATGCAAATGTGGGTGTGTTGAGGTTGAGTAAATAGTAACCTACATATGGGTGGATATCAAAGCGTGTAACAGATGTGTCAGAGCATTCGTGTGTGTGTGTGTGTGTGTGTGTGTGTGTGCGTGTGGGGTCGTACACATATATCTACTCGAGTGTTTGGGTTTGGTCGGACAAGAGCGAACAAGTTCGAACAGAGAAGGTTGGTCTTTTCCTCTGTTTGCACCCACCAGTGCAATGAGACATTCCCCACTCTAGAGGAACCAGCAGATCACACAGTGGAAACAGTGCTTCCTGTATGTGTGCATGTATGTGCGTAATGTGTGTGAGTGTTCATTTGTCTTTGATGTTAGGAAAAGTTGACAAAGAGTGAGTCTCTGTCTGAACTTTATCTGGAGCAAAATGAGCTGAATACAGGAGGCTGTGACTTCACTTAAGTGTGAATTATGAAAGCTTCACTTACAGGAACGTCCTTGGGTCTAACATCTGCGGGAACTGGAGCCTAAAAAAACACAGGTTAATTTTAGACTGGAGGCAAGAAATTCAAATGCTGAAATAATTGTGAGTAAACAAATATTGGCTGCTGTTATCTGGCCATGCAGATAACTCTGGTTTCATGCGTCCAGATTTTGAGATCTCTGACTCTGGGGCTGAGAATCATTACAAAGTTTCCAGTATTTGTGCTTATATGATACTTGAGCTTAGGTAAGGGTTGCAAATACCTTATTCAGAAGTAACACACTTTTCTATGCAATCCTGTTTTTATTGAACAAAGAAGCCAGACTCCTCAGATGTCAAATGTTGTCTGAGGAACAAAAACTTTGCCTTAAACTTGCAAAATTTTAATTAAAAATAGGAACAATTTTAACCAGAGTGAAGCCAGATGAATCTGACCAACCACTGAATCCAAGTCGGTACCAAAGAAATCATTGAGGTTCAATACTCAGCCCTGCTCATGTCCGTCTCAATACAAGGGAGGTGAATGGAGTTTTGTTTGCGGTGCTCACTGCATTGAAAATCATGTTTTGAAACTTGCCCATTGCTCTGTATAATCAACAGACCTCACTGTGAACAGTTTTCATAGGCAGGATAAGCAGTTGACAATGAGGTCTGGGGACAATGGGACAAAAAAAAAAAAAAAAAAAAAAAACACATTTCACTGGCACTGAATCAGAGAAGGAGATGAAGAGGGGTACACTGGGGAGAACTGACCATATCTTCAAATCTGTAGCCTGGAGGCAGCGTGTCGTCTCTTTCTCCACACTTCTGAGCCCTCTCAGAGGTAATGCCATGCTGTGACACATGCAACACACACGGTTACTCTCACCAGATCCATGCTTCAGCTCAGTGCAATCACATACCTGCAGTTTACACACACACACACACACACACACACACCACACACACACACACACACACCACACACACACACACACACACCACACACACACACACACACACCACACACACACACACACACACCACACACACACACACACACACCACACACACACACACACACACCACACACACACACACACACACCACACACACACACACACACACCACACACACACACACACACACCACACACACACACACACACACCACACACACACACACACACACACACACATGCATGCACACTGTAGCTATGCTGCACCTCTGTGACTTCTGGCCCAGTGTATACAGGCTGCCGGGGCATGACAGGATCAGCTGATGGTAGTATGCTGGCCAGGGCATCGAATGGATCCACCGCAGGTGCCTGTGCATGCAGTACAAGTCAGCACACTGGAGCAAGCAACATGCTTTTCAGAGCAAACCCATACTGCTTTAGGAAGTCTTTACCTCTTTGGCTCCTTTAGCTGCTGGGGAAGGAACCTCCACCTGCACCTGTAAATCACAATCAGTTATCATTAAATAAGCAACACAACAAATCTGACTGCATGTCGGATTGATTGAAAAGCCCTGAGTAAAAAGAGGTATCATGAAAATAATGCAATTTAAATATAAAAAAATAGATCAATCTATACCAGACCAAACCTAATAATAATAATGACCATTAATATGATATAATATTTATCATAATAATTATCATTGTAATGTCACCCCAGAAAAAAAATAAAACATAAATTTCTTAAAACCCAAGACATTTTCCCAAAGTTGACAGAAAAGAAAAGTCCCTACAGGCCCTGAAAGCATCTCTTAAACACATTAGTCCAGTACACAGAAGGGACAGCAAGCACCATGAGAATCTTCTGTCACATCCATTAGTATTCTACAGAAAATACAGAGGACAAAAGTATGGGACAGCCTCCACCCTGGTTGGTTTCAGGTTCGTCTACCTTCGTTTGTGTCGGTTTAGTTTCTTCTTTTCTCCCATGCACAGACACATTTCCACCCGCAGCCGTTGATGTTTTAGCAGGATCAACTTTAGACACATCAGCTTTGACTGTTTTGATGGCGGTGGTACTCTAAAATGCAATGAATTTAAATCTATTATTGTCAAGTAAAATTACAGGTCCACTGTGCACGTACAAAGTCAGATATATCAAAATAGTAAAGACAGGGCAGCGATCTCAGCAGAAGAAAGCCTCCACCATCTTGATTCCTGAGGAGTCATTAGTTTAGAAGTAGTGACAAATGGTCGGCCTCTCCCCTTCATTTGTTTCCTCTGGCTGACTCAGATTTGTGATGTATGTGTGGTGTTGTAAGTGCACTATGAGCAAATACAATAACAAGCACAGGCATGCTGAGCAAAAAGCTGCAGAATAAAGAACAAAAGCCTTCTCATATTTCCCAACTGGTCATCTCCAAAGTGGAAGAAAAGGAAGGCCAAAGCAGCTACTTGTTTTCAAAGAAACTCCCAAAGCGAGAAATGTCCAAAGTAAGTATCTGAGATTTCAGGAAATGGCTGTGACAAAACCTGATATGACTCTGCGACTCAAAGATGTTGCAGAAAAAAAAGAAACAAAGCGATGACCGAAGCAAGCCTCAAAAGGTAGGCTACACCTCGAGTTGTGGAGGCATTAAAGGGTCTGAGAAGCGTGCAGCAGTAGAGTCTACCTTGGCTGTGTCTTTGGGTTTGGTCACAGCAGTGGTCGCTGCCGGACCAGCGGCTGCAGCTGTTCCAGCAGCAGCAGAAGGAACTGTGGTTTTGACTTGGGAGACAGGTGCAGTCTACGAACATGTTGCCAAATGATTACTCACAAACACAAGGATGACAGATGCACTGCACTGTTGAAGTAGATATGTTGAAGAGACATGTGTGAAGCATTTTAACGGTGTTAGTGAAAACAGAGCAGTAGAGAACGTACACTGATCACTGGTCAGTTCTGTCACTGTAGTGCAAAATATACTAAAGTAATTTCAAATAGGGGTTATTTTCCAATCAGATTAGCTGGGATTCAGAACTGAGACTAATCTGACCACTGATCAGACACTGATAAATACTGGTGCTTTTTCACGCTTAAGCTCATTTAAAACAAACATTACACAATTTATACTACGGCCGAACTTTTTCTAAACATTCTACTTTAATCTTCTGTTTTTTTCATTTATTACACTGATTTACATTCAGAGAATATTTAAAAAATCTTATTGAGGAAGCAATGACATGAGTATCAGCTGCTGGGAAGAACTCTATTGACCAGATATGCTGCATAAAAAAAAATGTAACCCACATGACAATGAGCAATACAATAACCAAACCTGGGTGCTGATCATGTGAATTAAGTAGTCAGATGTCAAATGGTGCTATTGGGCAGCTGACAAAAAAATCATGTATGTTGGAGTTTCCCACAACACATGGGAAGCATTTTAACAGCACCTTCTGTCCACAGGCAACAACACAACCTCAACAAAAAAATTACAGCTAATACCACATTCATTATGAAGGATTGTCTATCAATAGACAGGTCCAAGTATCTGCAAGCTGCCCAGTTGCTATGAAATGAATCTAAAAGCTAAAAAGTAAAATGGTCAAAGTTAAAATGATACTCAGGTTAAAGCAAGAAAAAGCACCGACCAGCGCTTTGGCCATGATGACATCATTACCTTCGGCATCTCTTTAGGACCGCCCCTTGCACCTGACGATGTCATGTCAACAGCAGTAGCCCCAGCAGACGACATGTCAATAACAGTAGCACCTGCCGGCGTAGTGTTAGTCTACAAACCAAGGAGCATGTGTTAAGAGAAAGCCATGAGGATGTTATCGATGACGTCAGCTTTGTGAAGAACAAACATCCCAAGCGTGATGCTATGAGAGAATATTAATGTGAAGCAACAAGTGTTCAGATCCAGATGGTGTGGACGGCCGAGCCAGAGAGACAACGTGTATAAAGGTAAAAATGGAGGCAAAGAGGTAAAAAAATACTTTGCAAGATGAAAAGCTGATGAAGCCAGTGAAGAAGAAATGTGAGCTGCCTTGTGTTGAGCACACACTCAAGGTGTTGAGACCAATAGAAGGAAGTGATGATTCATGTTACATCACACCGAACAACCAAAAGCCCCCTCCATTTTCATTTAGGCATCCAGAGTCCGTCTACCTCTGGTTTGGATTTAGGTGCCTCTTTTCCTGCTGTCCCAAATGAAGCACTTCCTCCTGCCGTGACGCCACTTCCTGTGGCTCCGCCTGTTGCTGTGGTAACCACCCCAGGCTTTGTAGCCATGGCGGATCCTGATGAGGCCTTCTGCAATGCAGTTTACTCACCATTAGGAGTACTACTCAGCCTGTGTAAACAGTTGTATAATGTTTTCTGTGGCTCTGGAGGGAGCTGAGAAAAAGACCCTGGTGACATCATGGTGACATCATTAGGGTTATCTAGACTTGGGCTTGCACTCTACAAATTTATGACTCAAAGCCTACGTCAGTGGTTCTCAAAGTGGGGTCCTTAAGCGGGTCCCCAGCAAAAAAGAGAATAATTTATTCGCACTATAATGCCATCCATAAGTAACACAATGACAGAATGTATGACACTTTCTGTAATAAAACATCTTAAAGCAAAAATCTTAACAGATGGCAAACTCTAGGACAAGATCTTATCAAATGGGGGTCTCTTGTGTGCCACTTTAGGGGTCCTTGATGTGAAAAAGTTTGAGAACCACTGGCCAACCATTACAAACTGGGGGAATTGTTTTTGAAATAGGTGGGAGTGGGTACCAGGCAGGGAGGGTCAAATGAAAACTGGTACTAGCGCTACTGGTTGCATGATGGGAAATGTAGGAAACAGTGTTTTTAGAGCATGGGTGATACTAGAGACTGAAAGTCAGGATATTTTGGACTTTTTAAAAAAATCTTTCTCTTGTAAGAGCATCAACATTATTGAAAAGCAAGTCCACACTGCTGGAATACCCATTTAAATGTAAAGAAAAGGTGGAAAAGACAGTAAAGATCTATTTTCTTGTTTTGAATATGTAAATATTACAATTTGGAAAAAATGCCTATGTGTTCTTGTGGCTCAATATGATGTACAGTACACTTCATGCACATCTACTGCTGCACTGCACTGCTCTTATACACTGCCAATGAAACTTGAGTAGCTGAACCCAACAAGAGGTATGAAAAGGGGCACCAGGTCAGCAGCTAACAAGAGTCACTTATAGCTGGGGGTTAATGGCTGAGCGACACGCTTAGTCTATAAATAACTCTGTAAGTTTAAAATATGCATTTCTTTCACATCATGATTAATTACTATTTTAAATGTTAGACCTATTTCCTGCACACAGGCACCTCCCCAGATATCCTACCAAAGCTGCTCTCTACAGGCCAGACACCACAATAGACAATGTCTAAGCATAGGTGTTGAAGGCCAAGTGAAAACATCTCAGGCTGGTATTGTTGGTCTGTTCTGTCAAAACACTGTCTGGCCTTAAATAAGTAAATACTAGAATACTGAAAGACAATTTGGCAGTGAACTCCCTTTGTCCTGGAGCCAAGAAGAGGTTGACGACACTGTTTCAATGCAAAAACTAGTCATTAAGAGACTCAGTACTAATAAAGGAGTAGAGAGTAGAGATAAATAAATTTTTAATTTAGGCCAGGAAAGACCAGTGTGTCCTGATGTTGTGTCCTATAAATCCACTGGACGGATATTTAACAAATACAGTTTATGCCAAATAACTAAAAAAGTATTTGTTGAAGTCTGCCAACTGCTTCCAAGCAACAAATGTCATGCTTGTATGTTAATATGATCCGTCAAATAAACCTGCAAACCTGACATGTAGTCATAAACAGTATAACCGCTGAGTTCCTGATAAACATACTGTTAAATAACTCTTAAATGCCCACTTCCTGAGGTTTATTTATCTTATCATCTGGGGATTAGTTCAATCAGCAACAGATCAAATTTAACAATCACTTTGATCCTTTGTGTGAGAACAGCATTAGGGGGTTCAAACTGCTTCCCACTCATTAAGTAACTGGGTGTTACCTCCTTGTGCTTGAATGGAAGGAAGAGAAAAGTTTTCTTTTCTGTGCGCTACAGCTCAGAAGACACAGCTACACCTATACCCTTGTTCTACTTAAACATGTTATAGCTATTAAAAACATGCACAGTGCTGGAACAGGAAAGGAAGTAACAATACAACACATAGTCCAGATAATGGGGAGGGTCAGGGGGTCAGACACACACAGGAAGTTTACAAATGAGTTTCTTTAGTGAAGGAGAGAGAGAGAGAGAGAGAGAGAGAAGAGGTTAATTGGTGTTGCAGAGGAATGTTTCCTACCTCAAACTGTGCTGGCTTTACACCTGAGACCTGGGCTGCCGGTTTAGGTGTGGCCTGGCTAGGCTGCGACTGCAGAGAGAACCAGACAAACAAAGACAGAAAAGTTACACATGTGCAGCGAAAAATCTAACAAGAAACCATCATAATCACTTCAAGATTCACACTGAGCAACATCTCGGCTTTACAAGAGGCAAGAATTGTGGAAAACAAAACCTTCCATGCAGCTAATTTCTGGATATATGAATGGATGTCCCAACAGCTTCAAACAGAGACAGAGAGAGAGAGAGAGGTAAAGAAAGAAACCTTACATACACATCTACTACATTGTCGTCATGTACTGCTGAAAAACACTCACAATCCCATCCATCACCCATCACCCACCCATCCATCATACTGTAGTCAGAGGTGGTGGATTCAAGCACTACATTCCAGATTGAAGGGTGTGACTGTTGGTTGTCAGCAGAGAGCAAAGAGACCCGAGTATTATTGTTGTTTGTGGTTGCCACAGCAACTGCCAACAGTGATGACAAACACTGATGGTAGCTGACATCACAGACGGTAAAGTTAACACTGCGATCATTCACAACCTTCCTCAACAAGGTCGGCAGTTTGGACTCTGACAGCTGAGGACTGTGGTGCAGCCATTTTTAACACTCACACACTTTGCACTTCCTCACGCACAATCTATCAATCACACAGAAGCACTGGTGCTGTGATCTTGGATTTCCTCCTGATATGATTCGAGTTTCCGCAGCTGATTCTCCTTTTTGTTCCGTTATTGCTCGTGCTGAAGATCCAGTTTGTTCATACTAACTCTTTCATAACTCACTCATACTACTGTTCCTGCTGACCTCAGTCCTAAAGACCTAACCCTAAGAAAATGTTATGAGGTCAAAATGTTTAAATAACAAGAAATGTAGAATGTTTCATTGACATTAAAAGTAAAGTATTAATTGAAAAAAGACCTGACCCTAACCCTGGGTTTGAGGACAAATAGCTTTTCTGAGATGACATACAGTATCATTTGCAGATAACACTGCTGGCTCTATATCATGATGACTCTCAGCCATTAACTGTGGTCTCCACTGTTCACAAAGTTTGCAAAAGGACCAGGGTCTATTTTCAAGACCAGGCTACAGAGGCCACATAATCCAAGACAGTGCATCAAGAACCATTTTATGTACATTCAGTCCTCACTAATTTGCTTTAACACTTATTCCATATCCATTGATCAAACCCAAACCCTCTTTCTGTGAGGTACAGTGAGTCATCTCACTGAGTCACCTGCAACAAGCTCCATGATTTGACAGGATAACATGCAAAAAACATATCCAGTGTTTCCCCTGGTATTAAACGACCAGTACAAGCTCAAGTATAATACTCACTCAATCTCTAATCCAGTGTGTTCGTATGGAGGGATAAATGGTATATATTTTTAGTCTTACAGATGTAACCTGCTAAATGAACTCCCTTTTAAAAGGCAGCTGTGCGTGCGGTGGTGTCCAGGTGGAGTCCTGTGTGCTGCAGAGCCCAGCCCTGTCCTTTCAGGTGGTGTGAATTAAGAGCACAGAGCCTCCACCCCATTGACACCAGATCAGAATTATTGCTGTTAGTTTCACATCCAGCCCAATGCATTGTATGGTGCTGTATTGTTGTACATAGGGATCTAAGCCAGCCTGTTTGTGAACATTACTCTGTTTCTCCATTTGTTCATACCTATCACAGACAGTTGTGAGATCATTTGAATATGAACACACACGCTTTCAATCACTGCACTGAAAAGCATGCTAATGTATGGTCACAGATAACAGGTCTTACACTGTGTGGTTGGTAATTATTCATTTCAAAGTATTCTTGACAGATACTGTAGAGTCCCGTGACAGAAAACTATGTCTATGCCTATTATCATTATCGCATGTCTAAGCACCTATAAGCCTCTGGGTGAGTTAAACTGTCAGGCCAGCTGTGCCTCATGTTCTAGTTATGGGCAGGATGGAGGGTAAAGACAGGCTGTGTGTCTGTGAATGACTGTAGTGAGTGAAGGAAAACAGAGAGATGAACAACAGAAAGACAGAGCACATAATGAATTGCACCACTCTGAACCATCTGCAACCCGGGACCTCTGATTTAGAAATGACTGCAGCTCATCACTGTCAGTGATTGCCTAACACACTGGTGTTAACAGAAATAACACAAACCAGCTCAGGGTGAGAACATGTAAATCATACAAAATGCTAACTCTAGCTTTGCTTCAACTACTGGGGTTTGAGCTCTTCCTCAAACACTCAATATTCATTTGAAAAATCTTAGTCTAAGTAGAAATACATGATTTTTGTTCACCTTTATATCTTATACATACATAATTGTATTATTAACTGGCTGACAGTTGGTAGAGTCAACATAATGCTATTTACAGAGAGAAAGAAGGGAGGAAATGGCACAGAGGAGGAAGTGAGGTCACAAGCAGTCAGGGCACCCTACCACCCCACCCCAGCCACAGGGGAAGTCATGTTGCTCCTGTTACTGCAAAAAATATTGATTGTTGCTAGTAACCACAATAAAACTGTAACAACTGAATAAAGGAAACAGAGCGGTACAGCATGTCGGACGGTAACTCATGATGTGTCTTCCAGATGCGTTTTCCAGGTTTTACATGCACGTGCATTCATGTGAAACAAAAATCCGCCAGCTAAGATATTTTTTATTACACAATTATGAAGTGAATGTGGGAAATTTTTATCTGCGTGATCAAACTAGGCATGGGTATTGCTCAAATTTCGATAATTTACATTAATGAATATAAGTACATTTTTCTACAGTAGGATTTTGTTTGTTCACTCTCATGTGAAAGAAGCTGCAGCCAGGAGACACTTAGATTAGTTTGTAATAAACAAATCCATGCTCGCTGTTTCACCCTGTTTTCATTGTTAGTCCTAAGCTGAGCTGCTGGCTCTAGCTTCATAATTACTATACAGACATGGTATCAATCACACTCCTGGCATGAAAATAATAAACATATTTTCCATGTGTTGAACTATTCCTTCAACAAAATAAGCCAAACTTCATGCACTGTGTCAACACATTACTGAGATACTGAGGTGTGATATCCAGCCTCGGGTACAACATTGACATAATTTAAAGAGAAACTGAAAAAGTAGTTTTAGTTTCATCTAATTAAAAGTATTGTGGTAACTTAAGTGTTTGCTTCCCTTATTGTCTAATGATTTCTGGCATGTCATCGGAAATAAATAAATCACGTGTCACTGGCCAAACAAATGACATCCTTACAATACTCTACACTTTCACTTACATTACAACAAACCAATGCACTCAACGACCACATCCTCCCAAGATTTGGAACCATTGTGTGTTATAATACAAACTTTTAAAGTCTCAGTTGAAATCAAAGGAAGTTGGCCAAGAGGATTTGGTGACTCATTTGCCTTTTAAACTCTTTTTGTGGAGAGCAGTCCACAAACATAGAGCTGGAAGCATAAGACCTGTTACACAATCCTACTAGGAGTCAAAACAAATCTATATTTTACTGCATAAATTAGCATCCACATGCATTTGGACTGCTGTCAGTGAGGGGATCTATGCTGAAACCATGTTTTAAAACCATACACAAACAAAGTCGTCTCCCCTCAAGGCTCAGTCTGACACCAAAACCATTGAAGAAGTATATCACCAGTCCTGCCTTCACTGTGTGACAGATGCCATTTAACAAAGACAGGTTAGGCAGCACTTACAGTGAATCACCCAGATGCAAACAAACAGGCTGTTTATTTCATTCACAGTCCATTAAGGGAAACAATGCACAGTATAACAGACAGGAGGGAGACTACATCACCTTATTTACAAGATGACTCATGCTGTCAGTATCATAAAAATGATCAATACATAAACATGCCAAAGAGTGAAGCAAAAAGGTATTTTCCCTGGAGTGTACTCTGGAATAAAAGGGGTTATCACCTTCCTGGCATTTTTTAATTTAAAAAAAAAAGTTTATCATTCCTTCATTTATTCCTGAGTTTCAGATGAACAGCTAGAGCTGAAGCAGAGGTTTGTCTTGTCACCAGGCTGAACTCTGTGCTCACCTGAGACCCACCCAGATGCATTGTGAGTTTTATGCCTGCAGTGACTCCAAACTGCAGCATTCCTGCATTCCTCATACCTCCTGTACAGCAGACTGCTCTCTGCTTACAGGTGAAAGACTGTCCATCCACAGACACTCACTGCGAACAGTTCACACACGGTACAAGATGCTTTTAAAAAAAGCACATGCCTCACGCATTATGTCATTCTGAGCGCCGTTTTCAGCAAGAGCACCTTAAAGTACGATGTGTTTGGCACAGGTGTCGCCAGGCAGCATTTAAAAATGGTTGGTGGTGTCTGGCCCCTCCTGGTTAGCCTCTGCTCTGTAACATATTTTTGTAGAGTTTGTTTTTCCGGAAAAGCAGAAACATGACACTGAGTTTTCTACCCGTATTCTAAGGTAAAAGGGTATCTACTACTGTGCTACCCAGTAAAAATACGAACTCCATATATTAACAACAACAAAACAATTATTTCATCACCATTTAACAACTACAGCTCCCATGAGCTAAGGCTCAGTATCAGTTGAAATCTTCACCTGAGTTTCTGTACCAATAGCTATCAAAATGTCATGCTAGCTGTAGCATTAGCTGGTAAATTCAAATAAAATTAACATTATGTTTTTGTTAAAATGAGGTGAGGGTAAAGTACAGTGACTAACCTTTGGACAGAAACTCCCAGGGTCATGTTAGCTTTTCCTTAAAAAACAAAGAAAACCCCTTCGGGGAACTCAAGCTAGCCCCAAGTGGTTCATGACATTGGCTCTGCAGGCTATAAAAGATTTATGCAGGGCTTTTCTCACACAGCCTTAAATGAGGTGGGCAAAGTAACAGGAACACCATAAAATCATATGTATCCTGTACGCAAATACTTTCTTTATGAGGTGATTATATTTTTATTGAGACTGTGACGATTAATTCAACTGTGCAGTCATATTTTTTAGATTGTGAAGTGATTGTGTTATACGGTATTAT